TTTGTCCCGTTGCATACTAAGTCATACTCGGTTTAAAACGTGTATTATGGAAAGGGTCTAGTCATATGTTGACTAGTGTCTTGCATTGTCCAGTAACTAACTTTGACCCATTACTTATAGCCATCATTTTCACGATTTTAAAATGAGTATGATAGAAAAAAGTCTCCTTTTATACCTCTAAAACCTACGACAGATCTCGCATTAATAATCACCTCGGTAGGGGAAGAACTGCTTACCACTGTGTGGTGGGCTTGAGAAGACACTACCGTGATTTGGCACTGTCTTGTTCTTCTGGAAAGCAAAACTTGGGGGAAACCTTGAACAGGAGAATGTCCTGGGAAACTCATGTATAGACAGGGTAAATAATATCCAGAGAAAAAAGAACAATGACAATTTATTTACGTATTGGTTTCTATGGAAAACAAGCCAGAGTTACTGTATTACAGTTTCAGTACAGAATTGTAAGGGCATGGTTTGAGAAGATAGATAGGAATTAAGATAAAAGATACAGATTGGTCTGTCCTTTTCCCCCCGCAAGAACAGAATCAGCCATGGATTACAAGACAAAACTTTTGCTAAACGAATATGAGCCAAAAGCTAAGAGGGTCACAATTGGTGGTCCTCGTGATGATGAAGAAACAAGAAAAGAAGGAAAAGAAAACCCCATGAAGCCTTGACAAAGAAACCTTCAGAATCGCATTCATTCAATCCAAGAAATGGTGGGGTGAGACGAAAGAGATGAATCCAAATGGGGGGAGTTTAATTTTTGCAATAAGTTGATTGAAATTACAGTAACAGCCAGCCAAAGTGTGTACAGAGCTGATAAATTAAGTAGTGTCAGAACTCAGATGGCTAATACTTTTGGTTAATTACATAGAGATGCAAAAAGTTTGAGACCAGGGGGAGCTTCCTATACAATAATGCGTTTGAAAATGGAGAATCCTTTTTTCATGAGAATGTTAATGCCCTTTCTTAGTGAAAAGGCTTCTTATGCTAAAGAGATTGGTAGAACTACTTGAATTTCCAGGATTACTAACACTGCCGCCGTTTCCGTTGTTGTCGGAACTATGGCTGCCATCGTCTACGCCGCCGCCGCCGCTGCTTCTGCCACCACCGCTGCCAACAGCCCCAAGTCCACTGGTCTCGTCGCTTCTACAGCTCAAATGGTTTCTGTACCCAATACACATGGGGACATTCAAATTCAAAACTCTTACTCTAGAGGCGGCGGCGGCCTTGCTTCTGTGGGCGTCCTTGGGTTCTTTCCGGGCAGTTTTTTCGGCGTTGCGAGAGAGAGTTTCGGAGGTTTTGACGGCGGATCCGCTGCGCCGGACCTGCCACACCGGGCTACCCCGACCCAAATGGACTCCGGCGTGACTTGGGCTGCTTGGCCACTTCCTGGATTTGGATTCACCGGCCGAGTTGCTGCGAGAACACGGCGCACTGTTAAACTTCCGGGATCCTGGTTGGCCGCCGGTGAAAATTTTAGGCCTAGTGAAAGTATTCCCGGCGGATCTGCTACGCGAAAATGGCCAAATATTGATGTTTAACTCGGCCGATGAAGACCCATTTCCAGTCTTCTTCTCTTTCTTCTTCTCCTTCTCTCGATCCTCCTGACAACCCGAGGCGTTCTTCTTTTCGCTTTTCTTGAAAATGTTCCACCGCTGCGACGAGGTTAACGAAGAACCGGTTTCCGCCGAAATGGGCGTCAATTTGGGGCCGTCGCATGGATCGGGTTCGGAGGGAGGAGGCTCCGGGTCAGTTTTCGGGTTAGGTTCGGTAGAATGAGAGGTACAATGGTTGGATACAAGGTGAAGGGGAAGAAGAACACCGTCGACGAAGAGCTCATCGGCAGAGACGAGATTAGGCTGAGGGCAAGAGGGGTTCCGGACCATCCAAAACTCGAACTCCGGCGACGTGGGGAAGCTGCCGGTGGTCGGCGGAATCTCCATGAGGGAAAAAGATGAAGATTCTTCAGCCGGTTGGGAGTGGTGTGTGAGCTGAGAGCTCAGAAAGGGGACCCTACGACCTCCAATCAACAAATCAGAATAAAAACTGAGAGGGAAAGAGAGAAGTTGGGGGTACCACTCGACGAGGACGAAGCAATATTTTCTTGGCTTTTATATAATATTTTTAAAATCTCAATTTCCCAAAATTAGTATTTTAGTAATTTTTATTTGTTTGGAAAATAAATAATTAGTTTCCTCGAAATGTCACCCCTCATGGCTGCTTTCTCTTGTACTACATTCGAATTGAATTATTACAAATTAAGCCTTAAAATATGCATAAACCACAATTTAGTAATTGAATAAAATTGGTTCATCTATATAATATTATTCAACGCCATAATTTCATCTCAAATTGGTTAAGTAATCATTTAATTACCATACTTAATTTCTTGCGCGCATCAGCAAATTATTAATCCAGTTATTCAAATAAATAAATAAAGTGTAGTTGAATGGGTATGCAGCACATGCAAAAAGTTAAACTGGATTTGGTTTGGGTTATAGTGCGTAGCCAAACACACCCCAAATAATACAATAATTGTATTAATAAAATTGTGTAGTTTTAGGTGAAGTGATTTATATTAACGTTGACATTCTTAGTCAATAAAAATATTGCTTTATTTCTGTGTATTTATATTCTAAGTGTGAGATTATATAAGTAATTTGGTAGTATAATAATGAGTTTCTCTCTCGACAGAGATCCAATGGTAGGAAACATTCTTGATAAAAAGATCAAACGGTTGAAAATGAAACATTTTTAATCGGGTATTTGGATAGCTCCAAAGCTATAACTTTCATAGGGTCATAGCGCATTTAAACGATGTCGTTTTCGTAGGAGCTGTACATGAGTTACCATATAAAAACAAATTAGCATTAAGTATAATATGAAGAGCCAGCAATAAAGTTTTCAGTTGTCTTCATACATTGTGTCCATTTTTCCTTTAACTTTTTTTGCCTAAAGTTTCATACTTATAATTACCATTAAAGTGAGTTTGTTTGCATGCTCTAGCATTATGCTAAGTTCTCTTTTTAAAATAGTAAAAAAGTATTAAGGTGTGGGATCTTACAATTCACCATCTTTAAAAATTAACATGCACACCGGCTATTTTACCATTTGTAACTGTCAAAATCCACTATTAGAAAATATTATCCATTTTGGCTCCTTACATGTCGTCGTCAACCTCACGATTTTTAAAATACATATGCTAGGGAGAAGTTTCCCACCTTGATAAGAAACATTTCGTTATTCTAGTTTTCGCTCCTTTATAAAAAATATTTGATTGCTCTCTCCAAATGTTCATCAAAATATGAAAAATCCTCAAAACGGTTGTTTGAGTGTATGGAGCTTAGGTTGAGAAGTTTAGGGTTTATGTTAGGGCGGTGGAGTGGGCGACAGTTGAGTAGAAGCATGAGCTCGTAGCACTACAACTTGTATTGAATGCCATAAAAGATCCAATTAAGATGTTCTTTTTCTTCTTCTCCTCTGCGCTTCCAATTTAACATTTAAATTAACGTTGGAGTCTCTCAAACAATCTCTGCAACAAGTAATGTTCTTTTTCTTCTTCTCCTCTGCGCTTCCAATTTAACATTTAAATTAACGTTGGAGTCTCTCAAACAATCTCTGCAACAAGTAATGTTCTTTTTCTTCTTCTCCTCTGCGCTTCCAATTTAACATTTAAATTAACGTTGGAGTCTCTCAAACAATCTCTGCAACAAGTAATGTTCTTTTTCTTCTTCTCCTCTGCGCTTCCAATTTAACATTTAAATTAACGTTGGAGTCTCTCAAACAATCTCTGCAACAAGTAATGTTCTTTTTCTTCTTCTCCTCTGCGCTTCCAATTTAACATTTAAATTAACGTTGGAGTCTCTCAAACAATCTCTGCAACAAGTCAGTTGATTTGGTCTCACATGCACACCACTGCGCAATACATGGCCTTTTCCCGTTCTCCGCGGCTTGTCTTCTTTATTGCTGAATCATTAGCTGCATGCAATTTGTTTCTCCACTTCTTTAATTGGGTCCATTTCAATAATTGAGTTGGGATTTTGGCATGTGGGGGTCCTCTATTTAGCTTTGATTTTTCCTGAAAACAAAAGAAGAATCAAAAGGTTAGCTTCATAGAACCCCATTTGATAATATTTAAAAAGGATAAAGGAGAAAGCAACGGATTTTGATTGAGGCTTTGCATTATTATCTAATCAAGGAATTGGGTTTTTATTGGATGGATCAGCAAAGCAAGCAATCATGTGGAGTTGCTGTGTGATGAGTGGGGAGATTACATGATGCCAAAATGGGAGGGAAGCACGTGATAACTTCTCGTTAGAAGCTCGAAACATGGCAAAAGCAAATACCAAACATTTGTTTAAGCATTTTTAAATCTTTTACATTTGGGGATTTAAGAAAGGAAAAAGAAAAGAAGGGGACAGAAAAGGCGCAAAGGAAAATCTGTGCTTTTTGATTTAAACCATTTTGCAGGTTACACAGAAGCTAGCTACTAATGGGTAGGGAGTGGACCCAGTTGGGGCAGACTGAATCAAATACAGATGCTCAGAGACTTTAAACTTTAGAGTCAAAATTCAAATCATTAAGCCTTCAACAATAACAAGATGGCAACTAAAAAAAAGTCCAACTTCTGAATCATATCAGACACTGGATTTGAAGTTTAGGGGTTGTGATCAGGCAGTTCAGTTCAATCACTTGGATCAATGTCTTCTTTTTGACCTTTTTATCAGTTTCTCTCTCTAATTGAAGCACAGTAACCAAAAAAGTAGTGTATCAAAGAGAGAGATAGGTTGGTAGGTACCTTCATACCCCAGAGAGAGAGAGAGAGAGAGAAACAAATAAAGTTGAGAAGAATCTCCTCTCCTGTCTGCAGCATGTAGATTAAGATTATTAGATCAGACCCTATTAGATACATTTCAAATCTTTCATTCAAGAAAATATAAAACATTTCAAATCCATGTTTGTTTTATTATAAAGTAAGAAGTCGAATCAATTTGTTCAAATATGTTAGGCGATTTCCATTATTTGAACTGGTATGCAGTCATAGTCAGATAATCTTGGAAATTTTAGCATTTGGTCCTTGGACAGCAACCCTATCCTTCAAAAAAATTTAATGGTCAGAACCCATTAAACTTACAGAACTCATAATCATACCCCAAAACAGTGAAGATTTTTTATTAGCATCTTACGCCACCGAGCAATGCTAATCAAGCTGAAATTGAAGAAAACTAGGTTCCTAAAATATCGCATAAAAAGGCCAAACAGGCTTTGAACTTCCTCAAGAAATAAATTTTGGGTCGAAACTACTGGGTAAGGATTTATCTTTAAGCTCCAGCTCCAAGCTCCAGGAGGAGAGTATGATTAATAGCATTTGATGCAGGACCCACAAATTGAATAGGACCTGAAATTTCAATTAGGAAGAATGTCACAATTTAATCGAAACAGTGCATGCTTTTCTCATCTTTAAGGCATTATTGACATGTTTTTTTTAACACCCTCATTTAAATATTAGTAAATGCAAAGGGGGAAATAAATTAAATGGCAGCCAGCTGAAAAACATGACAAGGAGATTGTTCTCTTTTTGTTAAGAGCGGACAAGGAATCAGAGAAAGATAGAAGTTGAATGTTTTCTAACCAGGACTAATGTATCGGTTGTTGAATGCCCACTCATCCCTCAATGATGCATACTTCTTGAAAGGGGTACCTGATAATTCATGAATGAATCGGACATTATTGCTTAGTTTTTTCCAGTTGCAGATAAGTACATGAAAGTGATTGGTAAGTATGACAACAGGAAGACACTATTCTAGTATTACACACACACACACACACAAAAAAAAAAAAAATAATAATAATAATAAAAAAAAAAAAAGCTTCCGTTCACAGTTCTTACCATCAATCTCGACCATTGCCTTCTTAATCACAGGCTTAAATTTGCCTGTCACAAAAATACAACTTCAGTGATAACACAAGTATATGAAAATCAAATCATTTGAACGCAACAGCTAAATACATTTGGACTAGGATTCAAGAACCCTCGGGGGGCTAAGCCGCGTCCCATAATAATGAAGTTATCATGAACCAAAAAGAAACTAATTATTGAAATAGGGCCTTTTGTATCATTGATGTTATTAGAAGTTGAAAGCTCCAGAACAATAGATGCTGGACTTTCGTTTAAATTTATGCCAAGCAGACACACCGACCCAGAAGTATTTTGTTTATGTTTGACCTGTAATGTACGGGTATACATTTGGTAGCACCTTTCTTAAAGATGACTTGCAAGAAAGGGTCATTTCTACGACCTTGAACAGGACCTGTTCCAAGGGTTGTACAACTCTATCCTTGAGATCTAAAGAAAGAGCTAATTCTGAACCTTAGAATTTTCACACATTCTTAATGAAAATGGACAAACCACTTTGGGGAGCATGCAATCGAAGGGGGTTGAAAGAAACCACAAGACAAGACTTAAAATTAAGACCATGCATGATAGAGATAACAGAGTGATTAAGATAGCAAGTTGTAGTCTACCATGTCTCCTCTCCACATCCATTAATGATGTCAATGAAGTCCCACCAACAGTCCATTCTTCAACGGGAGCAGCCAAGTTCCCCACCTGGCAGATACACGGAGTATGCACAAATATTTACAGACAAATTATTGACAAACACAGCCAAAAAAATTAGGAATAACAGGAAACTGATATTTGATGGAAGTGTTTGCAGAGATATTGAAGATAAAATGAGCAGAGAATAGGACAGACAGATGATATTAGTCCAGTTTTTCCACTCTGCAGGAGAGATCCAGCACCATAACCCAATGCATAGCAGTAAGTAGAATCGAAATTGGTTGGTAGACCACATCTCCCTTCATATCTGCAAGTTTGACGCACAAGTGTTGCTGTGGAACTCCAACAAAAGGAGAAGAAAGAGAAAAAGAAAGTGAACTGCAGTTCTCAAATAATGAGAAGAATACTTACCCAAAAAAGTGAGATTGCCCTTTAAATTGACCATTGTATGCACCTTCACTCTTCCTCTTCTCCAACTCTGTTTCAACCATCTGAATGAGCATTTTCTCTGTTTCTATTTTAGCTACCTAAACAAGAAAAGAAGAAAAATATCATATCTAACCAAGAAACACCAGCACCTGGGTATCAAAACAAAAACAGAAGGGAAAAAAAATTACCTGAACATTTCCATGTGGATCTCTCTCAAGCATCAATTGTTCTTGGATTGCTCGAGGCAAGAGCTCAAAAAGTTCAAGAGATTGACTAGTGAGTTTCTTTTTCCACAATCCTTCATCATCAACTATTTCATGGGCCAGAATTTCATTTAGCTCTGCAATAAGTTGCTGTACCTGAAAGGCATTCAAGAGCAACATATAGTTTCATTAAACACACAGCTAAGAATGAAGATAATAAGACAGCCATTGCCGATTTTATGAACAAGAATAATACCTCCGGGATGAAGTCAATAAGGCCTTCCGGAATAAGTATCATACCATAATTAAAACCAAGTTCTGCACGTTTGCAGACTACATCTACAATGTAATCTGTGACACTTTTCAGCGTTTGCTTTTGAGCAGAAACCTGCAGCAAATCAATCCTAGTAGTAAGGAACACTGTAGCCTCTACATGCAGCAAAATTTATAACCATCGACCAGAGATTCCCAATCAATCATAAAGTTTTAAGAAGGTCCATTCATAAAAGATGACACAAGTCGAGCATTTAGAATCACTTGCAATGAGCGAGAGTAGAATGCGAGGACACCACAGATAAAAATCTTGTTCCTTTTTCCACAAATTAAAAAAAAAAAAAAACATAATTAAAAATGTAGCTGACAAGAAGTTAATAGTACCTCTTCCCCAATAATAGTAATATTTGGATGAGTCTGCAGAGCACACTCTAGGGTGATGTGTGAAGCAGCACGTCCCATAAGCCTCACAACTGCAGATTCACAAATCAAATAATATGCTAAGAGAAATACGACAACGCAAAAACAAATCAATGATCCACATGCATTCTAAAGCGCTTATTTAGAACTATGTACTAACATAACAACTCATAAATGCCTCTTTCTTGAGGCATCAAACAGTTTATTAGCTGATAAATAAATGTATCCACAACGTAAATAAGCATTATGAATAGATTTTTAAAAAAAAAAGAACATTTTAATCTGTTAGGTAAAGATATACGACTTTCTTAATGTTTTCAAAGAACTATAGAAACTATTATCAAATATCAGAATCATACTGGCGGTATTATTGATGATTATTTTAATCCATAAGGTACCAATTATAAACTGTGTGAACCACCACTCCAGACAGTAGCAAATGGATTTCCATCGGGCCACACAACATATGATTGAATGACAACACTATGGTTCTTAATTTGAGTATTGATATACTTACAATGATAATATTTTCCAGTTGATCTAGCATCTATCATGACATTACCAATCATTTCTGAATAAATCTGCCACATTAGAAACATGAACTTCTTTAATAGTGGCAAATGAACAACGTAGTGCAAATCCAATCTAGTAAAACTGTAAAACCCAGACAACTTTATTCTCTCTGCAAAGTAATAACAAGTCTAAAGCCTTCTACTTCGTAAGAAATCACAAGTTCAAGGAGATGTGTTAACACTTGAGCAAAAACTCGAGATGGTAATATCTACTACCACAACAAGAACAAAATTGAAAAAAGCATTCAAACAATCATAGGGCAAACATGTGTAGTTTACATCAAAAGAATTAACACTATGTTAAGAATTCAACGAGAGAAATGGTTAGTTACCCTGCAAGCTGTATCAAATCCAAAACTTATGGGCACCTCTTTGCATTTTAGATCTCCATCAATTGTTTTGGGGCAACCAATAACCCGGGTCTTCAAATTTTTACTCCTGATCAAAAGAAGAGGTATTATTTCACAAAACATATGATAGATACAACTAAAACAATGTACGGAAAAGCAAATTTTCTTAAATAGAGCAGTCCACCTGAAGTTTTCAGCAAGAAGGCAGGCATTTGTATTGGAATCATCTCCACCAATCACAACAATCCCATCCAAATCAAGCTTTTTTGCAGTTTCTTCAGCTTGTTTGAACTGAAAAATTAAGCCCACTCAACTAAGTTCATATATCCAAGTCACTTCAGCATAATGTCTGACCGTTGAAAAGAAACAGTCTCACCTGCTCTGTTGTTTCAAATTTGTCCCTCCCACTGCATATCATATCAAATCCACCCTGAAAAGGTCTCAATAACCAGCATCAATTATGCTCATACAACAGTTAACTTATTTTACATAGTGATATGATGACCAAGCATTAATATAGAGTATCGAAATCCATTAGAGGTCAACATCGTTACTAGTATTTAAATGTTTAAAGTTGTGAAGCACTCTAGGTTTACCTGATTTCTATATGGATGAATATATTCGGAATTCAATTCCACATAATTACATTTCATAATCCCGGCAGGACCACCCTTGAAGCCATATAACACACTGCCTTTGACATGATCCTGCAAATAATCTATCGCCAACACAGATTTAAAATCACTCAAATCCAAATAATAAAAGAAACATGATTCGGAAGTAGATTAGAATAGATTTATCAGATTTAATTCAGTAAATGTAAAATAATCGTTACCAAAAATTCCGGAAATCACGTTATGTCCTCCGGGGGCCTGGCCTCCAGACAACACGACACCAATCTTCAACTTCTTGTCCGGTTGAGCTTTGTTGGAATTGCTTTGTACCAATTTTGCCGATGGCTGGCCGAAAAGATTAGGAAATAGCTTGGCTATCTCGTCTGCTTAAAACAAACGCAAAGAAGATTAATAAAACGCCTAAATTGCAGTCCTCCTTCCAAAGCCATGCACAGGAATAATAGAAGGAGATACAAGGCTCATGCATCACAAAAATTCATGGAAGTCTATGAAATCAGAAACAGACACCAAAATATGTATTGAGTGAACAGAAAACTCTGAAGCGTAAGCAACAGCTTCCATTTTTAATGTTCCCATTCGATCGAATAAAATCGAAAAGACACTTAAAATTGCTAAAAACTCATTTCCTGATTCAGCAAGCAGCAACCAGATTCTTCAAGGATCAAAAGTAATAATAAACACTACAAGATGAAACAAAAGTGATACATACACAGATCCCGAGAGCATGCAATAGAACAGAGTACCTGGATTGCCAGCGGCAGAGCTAGGGGGTCCATCGACGATCGTGAAGGAACTTCTGAGCACAGAAGGCAGAGGCAGAGTGTGGTCGATACGACTGGACTGAACTTCAGCATACACTGAGGAGACCCGTCCGGACACCGCCGCAGGAGAAGATTTGACGGCGGCTTCACCATTGGAGACGAAAGAACTTGGCATTGTATAACTAGAGAAAGCACGAACACCAGAGAAAGTGATGGTGCGGGAGGCTGAGACTACGATGCTCGACACCGGTGGTTAAACGCCTGAAATATAGAGAATTGTCGGAGCTGGACATTACCATGCTGAACCGAAACTGTGTTGGAAAATGGAAAAAGTAATAATTCAGTTTGGACTCTTTCCTTTGATGCGTTGACAGCTCTCTCCCGGACATTGGACATTGGGTACATTACTATTACCTGGGGCTGGTTTAGGATGCCTAGTTTGATTCTGTGGATCGCTTTTCCAGCAGTATGGGCCTTCAATTCCAGGCCCAAACCTCTCAGCCCATGTATCAAGTAAGCCCGTAACGAGCCCATGGCAGATGGTTCTGGGCCTGAGAGGGGACGAAACGATGTCGTTCCATGCTTCTTTTTGATACATAGATACACTATTCCTTAATTCAAATCAGCCACTATCCCTTAATTCAATTCAGCCATCCCTCAGCCGCCACATAGATACACTGAACAAGAGTTTCTCAAAAGGAAAGTATTAGAGGTGGTCTACTTGAGCACCGTCATTACCTGTTCCAAAGATCACAACTTGAAACCATTTCTAATACTAAAAAGAAGACCCACTTTTCCAATTGTGCGTAAATTATTGTTTTGGCCTTGAATTTCCCTTCAAAGCACCGAGAATGAATGCAGCAGGCTCAAGCCAGCGGCATCGCCAAAAACAGAGAGCATACAGAGCCTTGTGCTGTCGATGCACTTGCAATTGCAGGCTGGGATTTTCTTCTTCAGAAGAAACTGAAAGCTTCGGCTCTGAGCGATTCCCATCAGACTCCAGCGATTCCCACGCCATGGACAAAATGATCAGGGAAAAACAGAGAATTGAAGAGACCAAATTTGTTGTGATGGTGGCTATGGAGAAATGCTCTGATGATCCAAAAGAGGACTTTAGAGTTTCGATGATGGAGATGATTTTGGGTAATGGAATTGAGAAGCCAAAGGATCTACGTAGTCTTTTGAACTGTTATATCTCCATGAACTCCGATGAATGTCATCATGGTGTCATTTCAGAGGTATTCCATGAAGTATGCTGTAATTTGTTTCTGGGCTACGAGACAAAAATTTAGCATTGTTTCTAAACGAATTTTGGAAAAGTAATTTGGATTCTGGAAAGCTCTGGACTTTTAATGGGTGGATTAAAATCCTCCTCGATTATAGTTCTCTCGTTAGAACAGAGAAATTAAAAAATAAATCGATGCGGTTGTGATTGTGACTTGATCAAAACAATCCAAAACCAATTGAATGGCTTGTACGACCTGATTTGCATGATTGAGAACTTAATCGCGAAGAATCCCTTTTGTCTCCATGTTGAAGGAGTTGTGTGATCAGATCAAAAGGGTCATTTCCACTACCACTTCGATCCACATGTTACTCAAGTGACTATAATTTTAAAAGAAGACATGGCTAACTGAAGCTGGCCATTTAAACAGCAGGCGATACCATTTAACTATATGTGGTTCAACTACAACACTTGCTACACCATCTTTAGATAACAATTTAGTTTTCCTATCAACCCTTTAAACAACATTCCCTTAGCAAAGACAATAATAGTATTTGATCAGGGCAGTAAGAGAGCGCTGCCTTCCTTGATGAGTACGAACACACTACCAACATCTCCCCGTGAAATTCGAAGATCTTCGTCGAGATAAGTAGTTAGCAACCACGACTCTGGTTTGGTGTTTGGGATCGAGAACTTGATTGGTGGTTGGCTAGAAATCGTCTTCGCCACATTTGAAGCAGTGTTTTGGATGGAGGATATGATGCCATTGAATGGTGAAAGATCGATCTTTTGTCCAAGAAACTCCACATTCTCTGGTATCACTATTGAATCCGTCAGCTGGGGTGTCCCAATGACGCCTTCTTCAAACTTGATCTGGAAACATAGTTGTGGGAAAAGCAAATATTAGCTGATTACAAAGTCTCAGAGTTGAAATCCCCAAACAGACAAGAAAATCCTAACTTGTCTGGGTTCAGACTGCCGGGTCAAAGGCAGATTTGTTCTAGCTTTACCTGTACGCGCTGAGGACTTCGAACTTCAAACTTTGCATTAGTACTAATGGAAGTGGTAGCCAGAGGGCCAGAAAACTGGACAGAGTTTTGAACAGTGAAGCTCTCTGAATCAATTGTCTGTGAAATTTCTTCCACTTTCACCAATGGAAATGTACTCCTAGACAACAATGGGAACAGACCCGAGAACGATGTGTACCTACAACCCCAAACATTCATGGTTGAGAAACCTATGATGACAACAAATTTCTAATGCAGAAACGCTTCCAAGAGTACTAGAAACAGCCTTAAAAGAAATTTATACAAAACAAGATGTTGGGGCAGTTACAACCACCTCAATTTCAAGTTTCAAATCCCATCAGAGAAACCCAGAAATTAGATTAAACTTGTTCGTTCATATAGTATTATAGGAAGCCGTTTATAAATTGCACTGTTAAGAGAAATAACAAACTAGGTTACGATATGATTAGGGCACTTACGCGAGAATCCATTTGCCATTGAGAAGAGTTAGGGCCTCCGTAGGAGCTGGTGTAGGATTCTTCGCTTCCAGTTGCGTAATCAGCTCCACAATCTCCGCTCTAGTTTCGCTAGACGCTCTTAATCCACGATCAGTTCCGTAAAACGAGTCCACCAACGCCTTCTTCAGTTTATAGATCTCCGATTGCTCCAGAGGCTCCTCTTCGGCGACCGCCACAGCCGAACCATCATCGTACGGCTCCACCTTCTCCTCCCCCCACTCGTCATCGTTCCCCACCGCACGGATCTTGAACACAGGTCTAGCCGAGATTGCCGACTTCCCTGCCGCTACTCTGGCTCCGGCCCCAATCGAGCTGATGGGGAAAATCGAGGGCTTAGAAATCGGCTGAGGTTGCGGTGGATTCAGTGAGAGAGTCTTGCACGGAAGTTGATTGAATTGAGAAACAAACGCCATTTTTTTCCCTGTATTTTACCGAACTCAGACAAACAAACACACAGCACAAATTGAAAGACGAGGACTTCCACAACAGCTACGTCTCAAATACCATTCCAATTGGAGCAAACGAGAGGGACGATTAAATAGATGCGAAATGAAACAAGAGGACAATTCTACCCCTGATCTTCGCGACTGCCTTGAAACCTGTCAATATTTTAAAGGGCAAATTGGACCTTATGAAAGTAATGGCTATTTGATAATTGCACAAAATGTGGTGTGTCAAGATTGGAACACGTGGTGCATTCAGGAGGGAGACGGTAGCTTAGCGTATGAGGCGCGAAATTAATTAATTCAATTAAACACGCATTTATTTCTAAGAACATATATAAAACCAGCTATGAATTTTAAAACAAACAAAAAAACTAAAAACGGAATAATTATTAAGAAAGTGTGGTGTAACTCGTGTGTATAAAAATAAAAATAAAAAACAATTAATTATAGACATGGATCTAAATCAAAATTACAAAAATGTCGTATCATTTTTAAATATATTTTTAATTAATCAACAAAATTTGTCTTCTTCTCTACTCTCTTAATTAAGATTAAGATTTGCATTTGAGACCCTGGCGACTTTTTATTTTCCCCTTAGGACCCTTCCCTTTCCGGGGCTCCGAGAGGAGTTTTAATACAGAGAGGTGGATATCATCAGAATCTTTGAAGAAACTCACGAGATATCCATGGCGAAAGGTAATCATAATTCCTAATCCCAACTATTTTACATTTCCCCCCCAATGCCGTTGTTGTGTTGAGTACCATTTTGGATTTTGTTCCTTCCAAATTTAGAGATCGGAAAAATGAATCTTCTCAGTTTGATTTTACAGGAAGCGGCCAGGCGAGAAAGGGAGGCTAGGACGATTTGGGGATTTTTCAGCGATCAAATGGACGGTGACGATGGAGGGAGGCGGCGGCGGAGGCGGAGTTTGAAGCAACGGCTAGGATTTAAAGTCATGCGCTGTTGTGGTGCTACTTGGGGTTTCCGGCCGGCCACAGTGAGTGTTAGAGGCGGCGATGACGATGACGATGACGACGACCGGATTGAACCGGATGTGGAGGTGATGAACACGCCACAATTTCCGGAGGAAAGGGAGTTGGATCTCCGTTGCTTGAGTCCGTTTAATATTTCGTCGCCAGCGTCGTCCGGTATGAACTTGGCCACCGCTCTGGCGGCGGAACGTCGTTTGAGAGAGTCGCCACGTGGAACGGAGGAGGGATTTGTGGAATCGAGCACCGAGTTCGCTTCATTTGCTGGAATGATGGGCAGCGGAACGCCGTTGAGGGTGTCACTGATGCGGCTGCTGGAAGAAACAGACGGTGGCGGTGGCGGTGGCGGTGGTGGGAATTTGGGAGTGACGGAAAAAAAGATAGAAGAGGCGAGAAATGATTCGGTGTGCTGCGTATGCATGGGGAGGAAAAAGGGCGCAGCATTTATCCCATGTGGTCACACATTTTGTAGGGTGTGTTCGAGGGAGCTGTGGTTGAATCGAGGATCATGCCCACTTTGCAACCGTCCGATTCTCGAGATTCTTGATATATTTTGAAGCACCACGAGAAGTATGATGCAGATTAGAACAGAGGATTGTTGGCGACGGGGAGAGAAAGTGCATTTGCATTTTGCCTCAAGATCCGAGACAGAGTGTTTTCATTGGACGGTGCTGAACGACGCCGTATCTGGGCGACATGTGGATGCGAGTAACCAAACGTCTTCACCTTCGATAAAATACTTAATTAATAGTTTCGATGTAATAGATTAATTTAAACCTTTTATAAATCGGATTGAACAACAACCGCTATCGCTCTTTTTGTTCCTCTTTTTTTTTTAATATAATAATAATTTTACTTCCAAAGTTTTGATGGGCTTCGTCGGCCCTTTCCAAAGTGGACCATCGAAACTCGTGGGCCAGATAAATATTGGGCTTTTCAATTAATTTGAAATGGGCTTTTCAATTATTTGGGTGGGGAATTATGTGTTCAAACGATTTTTGGAGAAACGTGCATGGGGAAGATGGGAATGACAGCAGCCAACCAACCAACCTGAAAAAATAATAGTAATCAATAAAGTTTAGTGTCACTTCAACTGGGAATCTCTTGTCTTTTCTACCTTATTACTCATTTATTTTATTTCATCAAAATAAAATAAATATTATATTTTCATCAAAATCTATTAATTTTATTTCAAAACCATGAAGAAAAAAAAGCATAGGTCATTCTCCCGTCTCAGAAATTCGGATCCTGTCGCACGTGACAGCCTTACAATTGCATGTGCTTAGGTTAAATGATACTGCAGCCTCGGTACCCATCGTCCCATCTTCCCAACCTATGCATGTACTATCCAAAATATTAATTAAATTTATTTTATTTTTTACCACCATTTTTTCATATATATATATATATATATCAAAAAAAAAAAAAAAAAAAAAANATATATATATATATATATAAAAAAAAAAAAAAAAAAAAAACATTAGACAGTCCCACACAATCTAAGGTCGAGTGATCGGCCACTCGTTAAGTCATTTTCCAACCATCCTGATTTTACTTTTTTTTTTTACTAACGTGAAAATTAATTAGGATAAAGCTGAAAGGGATAATATTAAAATTATTTTTTTAAGATAATTATGAGAATTAAACCAAGTTTGATATCAAATAATTATATTTAATTTGAAGTACATGTACAAAGCTTGTTTCCAATAAAAAGTGGTGACAAGAAATGGCATCCAATTTCCATCACTACCTAAAACCCAATCTACCCGAATGGTACCATATTATTCTTCTACTTTATTATTATTATTATTATTATTTTATTTTTTTTTAAGGAATAAGAGCTTTTAGATTTACAAAAAGAAATATTGTTTTGAATAATAGTTAGTGTTATTAATTAATTAATTAGGGAGTTGGAGTTGGAGTTGGGGTTGGAACATGACATGTGCAGCCATAGGTGAAGCAGAGAATTGATTGAGATGGAATATCATTTTGTGGGAGACCAAACAGGAAACAACCCACCAAATGCCCACTCATAATAAACTGTTGTTCCATTTGGGAAACAACTTATGTTCATGGAACCTGAAACTTGATCCAACCCCAACATGCCCTTCGGGTCCTACACTTCCCCCATCTCCCTCCCTCTTTATTTTATTCTCTCATCTTTGCATCCTTAAACACACAGACACCATGATGCTCAGTATACCACAATCCCACCTTCCCTAATCTTAGTCCGGTTAAGATTAAGGTTAGGGTGCCTCAATCCTTAAAAGTTGAAGCGTCGTATTATTTATTAACAATAATTAAATAGACCCTATCCAGTAAATATCTTTCTAATAACGAATTTGACTATGTTTGTGACCCGTGATCGATCCCCGTAAGTGCGATTTTTAGAACTATGATATTATTATATTTAAATTAATAACATAGGAAGGGAGTACAACAATTAATTATAATTTCAGTTAATTAGCAGCAAACCGTGATCAATTTTTAAATAAATGGCGATCTAAAATTAATACAACAGTTTAGGGGAGGGTCTAATCTAATGGTGTCAGTCAACTCCCGGTCAGCCCACAGAAATAAACGAAATTATCTGCCCATTGTTTAGTTTAATTAATAACTATAAAAAAAAATTTGTTTTTTTTTAATTCAAAATTTTAAATACCCTATTACCTTATAAAGCTACCCTTCACATCATAGATTGATCTAATACGTACTTTTCTTTATTGGGTAACGGTAACTCCATATATTAATAAGAAAAATTCTCACCATCATAATCTAGGGAGTTTTGTCTATCTAAAATTATTTTAAAATAAAATTTTAATTTAAAAGAATATAAAAAAAAATTATAAAATATCTTAATTATGAACTACAAAACTTTATGGCGGGTTAATTGGGAGTGATAAATATTTTTAATATATAGTTTCATCATATTATAAAGGTAGCGGAGTTTTTACCAATTCTAAGGTAAATCAAGACAGAAAGAGATGACATTGAAATAAAGTACTTTTTAATACGCACATATAAGAAAGAAAAGAAATAAATCATACAAAAATTAGGATAAATAAAATTACTTTATGGTTAATTAAAATTTTGAATACATTTATTTAAACTACAAAAATATCTTGATGAGGTAGGAAAAATGAAGAGATAAATTGACACCTCATCTAGAAAAGTGTATTCAACAATTAGGCTGTCAAATCATTCAAAAGTTAATAGTAAAAAGTGTACTTTAAAATGAATTAAAAAAAAAAAAAGTGAAAATTTAATTTAAAGATTTATATTTAGTGATTTAAACTTTATTAAGGGTAAGGATTACGAACAATATGTTAAGTGAGAGTGGTCGAAGTAAAAAACAGAGGTCAAATAGTGGGATGTGGGCCCGACAGAACACACTCACAGTCACAGCGGCGAAGCAATGGTCCACCTCAATTCCCACGATTACAAACACACAAAGACAGGGTCCCACTTCCTTTAATTAATTAACTAATTAAGTCTTGAATCCATAAGCTAATTACTCTTGCACTTCTCTGTTTCTCTCTCTAATTAGTTGCATGTGACTTCATTTCCACGGCATGTTCCATCTCCTTCATGAATGATTTGTTTAAATTAAAAAACTAATTAGCTTCTCCTTTTGTTTTCTCTCTCTTCCACGCCTATAAATTGCGAGCGCCATGAACACCACACCACATCCAAACAGAGTGAGTGAAGAGTTTGAAGAAATGGAGATGGATTTCCCTGTTATCAACATGGAGAAGCTTAATGGCGAAGACAGAGGAGCTGCCATGGAGAAGATCAACGATGCTTGCGAAAACTGGGGATTTTTTGAGGTATAAGTTGTTTTCAACGATGGGTTTTGTTTTGATTTGATTGAATTTGATTAAAAGTGTGTTAATTTGATGGGTTTTGTGGAATGAAGTTGGTGAATCATGGGATATCACACGAGCTGATGGACGAAGTGGAGAAGCTGACGAAGGAGCATTACAGAAAGTGTATGGAGCAGAAGTTCAAAGACATGGTGGCGAGCAGAGGCCTGGATTCCGTCGACACTGAGATCAACGACACTGATTGGGAAAGCACTTTCTTTTTACGCCATCTTCCCGTTTCCAACATGTCCGAGATCCCTGATCTCGATGAGGATTACAAGAAGGTGATGAAGGAATTTGCGGTGGAATTGGAGAAGCTAGCTGAGCAGCTTCTAGACCTGTTATGCGAGAATCTTGGGCTTGAAAAAGGGTATTTGAAGAAGGCTTTTTATGGATCCAAAGGCCCCAATTTTGGGACTAAAGTCAGCAACTATCCTCCCTGTCCTAAACCAGAGCTTATCGAGGGTCTTAGAGCCCACACTGACGCTGGTGGCCTTATTCTCTTGTTCCAAGACCACAAAGTCAGTGGCCTTCAGCTTCTTAAGGACGGCAAATGGGTTGATGTCCCTCCAATGCATCACTCCATTGTCATCAATTTAGGCGATCAGCTTGAAGTATGCCACTTCCAACTTTTTCTTCTATTTTCATTCCTTTTCCAACACACACACACACACACACAAAGAAAAAAAAAAGTGTAATGTTTTATCCATATTTATAGGTTATTACAAATGGAAAATACAAGAGTGTAATGCACCGGGTGAAAGCTCAACCGGATGGAAACAGAATGTCGTTAGCATCATTCTACAATCCAGGAGACGACGCCGTAATCTATCCGGCGCCGGCACTGGTGGAGGGAGAGGAAGCAAGCAGCAAACTTTACCCAAAATTTGTGTTCAACGATTACATGAAGCTGTACGTGGGGCTGAAGTTTCAGGCAAAGGAGCCAAGGTTTGAGGCCATGAAGGCCACGGACTCCACCAATCTCCAAATGGGTCCAATTGCGACTGTTTGAGCAACTCCCTTTGGTGAAAAGAAAGGGCATTTTGTTTATTAGAAACAAAATTTAGTGGTACATTAGTGCAGATGTTTCGTTGTTTGGGGAACAGTGTCTTATTTTCTATTTTGTAGCCGCTTAGGAGGCATGAAGGCTTCTTGTTTCTACGTGTGTGCTTGGTTTTTGAAATATGGTTTGTTGGGATTCAATCAAAATAGAGTTGTTGACATCTTTTGTGATGGATGGCAGAGGCAGTGGACAAGGGATTTGCAAAATCTGATGGAAGGATAATATGATCTTGTAGTACTCAAAACAAGACTGCACCTAATGTGATTGGCTTGAGAAACCTCTGACATTATGGTGGGAATGAAAAGCTAAAAAAGAACCCAAATGATGTGAGACATTACTCATGAATCAAGGTTTCTAAATTTGTGTCCAATTGGAACACATAAATTTTAATATAACCCTTTGATCCAATAATTAAATTTTACATTACTCTAATTAGGCCATATTATTAAAATGTCATCAATAATGAATAAAACGCACGTTATAATGGATAGACAGCCGGCCGACTTGTCGTCATACATGCATCGATTCGTCGTAATGAGAGAAGGCTACAATGGTAATTAACGGAGGAAAGATTTGCTAGGGTTTAGAATTGAAAACTTACAAATGGCGCCGCTATTGGAACGAAGCAGGTCGCTATAAATTCTTGCGATCCTGCTACGGTGAAGCCAGAAACTAAAATGCAGACGGACCTGGTTCAGAGCTTCTTCTTCTTCTTCCTTTCTTTTTTTCCGAAAGGGTTTTCGTTTAGTTTGTGTTCTTCTTATTCTTCATGAAATTCATTCAAGTTTTCTGTGGATCAAAAGCCTCGCTTCTCAATTTAAACGGTGCTTGAGATCATATTCTCTAGCGCCGGAGATTTGGCGAGGTATAGCGAAGGCCGAGATATCGTTTCAGTCGTCATTTGTTATTGGTTGGCGATTCGATTGTTGCTCGTCCACATTCTCGTTTCCGAATAAATCTATTTCGTGACTTTGATTTCCTGATAATATCTGTCTACTTATCTCAACTTTTGAATCGGCTCGAACCCTAGTTCGTTCTTTTTATCCTTCCTTGTATGGTTTCAAAATCAATTTTTAGAATCTTAACAACAGAGTTTACCTGTGACCTTTTCTTTTAGTGCTTCGACCCGAAGCAATAGCTTCTAGCTAGTTCAGTACTCTTTTTTCAATTGATTTCTTCAAGAACATCTTACACGCTACGACTTCAAAAACTTCTTTTCGGAAACTTTTTTCACTTGGTTATTCTGAGTTTTGCATCTTGTAGTTACCGAGCTGAAACTGATGCTTCCATTCACATGTTCAAACGAACCAGAATCTGATCTTACACAAACTAGAATTTTGAATGTTGAATCGGCGAGAAAGCAAGCAATATCCAGCTGGGAGAATTCGGATTTACATTAAAGAAGATTCGTAATAAAACTCAAATATTAAGGCAATTATCACCGAAAAAAAACATGCAAATGTCGGCTCCCGTGAGATTTCCCACTAGAGGGGATGAGTTTTATGTACATAATAGGTAAAGAGCCTTGTGGCTTCTTAACGCCATTAGCTCTTCATGTACAGTAACTCCATAGATAACAGATAATACTTGTTTATTATCTGATAGTATGCATTCTTTGATTTGCATCTTCTAGGCCAACTTATCTGCTCTTTTTTTCTGATAAGAGTTTAAACCTGGAAAAGAAAAGTTGTATATATAATGATCGGATTCCTTTTCACATCCTTCCGATGCTTACTCGGAAACTTTGTGATGAGACTATGGCTTATCTACACGGGAACCACATCTGCATTCTGATTTTCGTCACATGTTATGATTAAACCTTCAACGTAGGTGGGAAGGAGGCAACGAGCCCATTGGCATCCTGTCGAGACGGGCTCCGCTGATGGAACTACCATGAGGACATTATCATGCCGCCGAACAACTCCCATCACACTCACGGTGCTTCCTTCCTTGATGTACCTGTAAATATGTAAATTAGTTTTCATCAGAATGTGACATGAAAATGGTGGCATCCTGATCATGTAAGGAAAATGTGGTGTTGGTGTAATACCCTTCTTTAAGGCGCATCACTCTGTCATCGCAAGAGAGTTTGCGATCTGCCAGCCAGCGTAGGAAGCCTGGAGACAAGTCTCGGTTTTCTTTAGTCACATCGACAACTGTTGAGGGTTTAACAAACGGAGCAACCTTGGCACCATACCCTGCTTTCACCAGTGCTCTTAACCCAGATTGGAAGTCTGATATGTAAAAGTCAGCTACATATCTCTGTATCAGTCGAAGAAAAATTTACCAAAGTTGAGAACTAATAGCCATAAGCCATCCATCAAGTTCTAAGAAACTGGTAAATAGAAGAAAAGAAGTGACCTCAGAATATCTAGATCCCCAAGAAAAGCAGCGGTGTTTAGGATTTGCAGGTTTTCCTCCCCATCCTTTATACTCATACAGCTCTGTAGACACATAAACGCACCTGGGTACTCTCTGGTAAGATGATTCTAGTGGAATACTACCGCAGGTGACCACCTAAAAAGAACACAACAAAAGATCTTAGCTTTCACCTACCAGGTTTAGTTGTATGAATTTGCAGGTTCATGTAAATGAATGGCTGAAGCTTATCTACTGATCTATATTGCATTTGAAATCATTGGTGATTGATGTGAAGTGAGGTTTGGTTAGGTTTGGTTTGGTCTGTTTTCATAATTAAGTTTTTTCAATAATTAGTGGTCAACGCCACCAACAACCAGATTGTGGAGTAAGCAGAGTATTTGAAGTTTCCAAAAACAGCTGGGAGTTCCGAAGTAGATGCAAAACGAAGCCTGTAGATGTGCCAATATTGAGTTCCTGCCTAACAGGAGCTTAGCAGAAGAGTACATAGGTAGCTAGTTTAATTTATGAGAATGATGCCATGGTGGTGGTTAGGATGGTCAAACGGATTACAGAAGCTGAACAAACAAGTTTCAATTTTTAATATGGAAAGGAAAGATGCTCAATGATTAGCCATAAGATGAAGAATGATTTGAGTCATATTACTTTTAATTAAATACCTCATTAACTTCTCAACATACAAAAACAAAAAAAAATCTGAAAGCGAGAGAAGAAAATTACCCCAGTGACCTTCACGTACTGTCCATCAATAGCACCTCTGAGCTCAGCCTCCGGATACCTTCGTACAAACCCTATCAGTCCCTTTTTACCCCAAGCAATATTCCAAAGAACCGCAACCACCGCCGGGACCAGTATCCCTCCCACTGCCACCAGTAGAATCGGCTTCTTCACCGCTACCATTAGAAACGCGCCAACCAACAAACCGGTGGCTAAAACTCCTAGAAACACCCATACCACCGCCTTCGAAACCTTGAACCCTATTTTCACATCCTCGCTTATACTCGTCACCGCCGACCCGTACATCGTCTTCCCAAATGACGTCGTCTGCTCCAGTGGACCGGAGCGGCGTCCTCCACCGACGCTGCCGGACGATCCAAGGGGACCGGATCCAATAGGGCCAGAGGTGATAAGCCCGGTGGGCTGAAGCGAAATCGGGCCGGAAGATTTCTTGGAGATCGGACCGGAATTGGAGTGCTTAATGACAGGTCCGGAATTAGGGCCGGATCGGACCGATCCGCTGTTGTGCTGAGAGGAGGAGGAAGGGCGAGAGGATTTGGAGTGAGGAGGAGCGGAAGTTGGAGAATCAACATGAATGTCAAACATTTTAGCAAGGTCCCCGGATTTCTTGATGTCCCCGCCAGTGTAAGGTACGGCGCGTGAGCCCATTGTCGGCTGCCGCTCCTTGAGCTGTTCAGGGCGGCCGGAGACATAGAGGCCGCTACTCAGCTGGTGAGATGGAATCCGAGAGGCCATTGAAAGTGAAAAGATGAAGAGAATGAAGAGAATGAAGTGGAAGTGGAAGTGGAAGTGTTGGTGAATGAGCTGAGAAGAGGAGAAGAAGAACGAACAGAGTAATGGAGTTGGAGCAGAGAAGGGTGGGGAGGGAGGGTATGAAATCACAAAAATACCCCCTTCAAGTCCAATCAGTAAATTTGAAACATGGCGACTATGGAAAGAAGTGAGATAAGAGTTTGATGAATAATGAAGAAATGAAAGAGGTTATGTTTTTCTGAATTTACCATTCTATCCTCTGCTCTTTTATTTATTATTTTTTTAAAGATTTTATCTTAAATGTTTTACGGTACAGTTTTGAATTTCTTTGAAAATTCTTTTACCGCCTCTGTGTCACCCAAAAAAGACCAACGATCATAATTATTTATATCATTTTCTACGGCTTTCTTTCTTTCTTTTTCTCTTTATTTATTTTCCAAAATTAAAATTTCTAATACATAAATGGATCTTTCCTGCATTGGAATAAAATATATTTTTAAGGGGATACTTACGGAAAGCTAATGGTAGAAAATGGATCAAGCTTATCCAGTTTAGTTGAGAACAGAAGAAGGGTGGAATAAGCTAATCTTAACAAAACTAAGTGGGCACCCAGATCCAAACACCCCCCCCCTTCCAGCACAAAAATGTCTGGAATAACCTAATCTTATCATTTTCATTTACCACCCCCTTCCCTAAATCTCTTACGTTATATGGCTTACCTCCAATTTCCCTTCATTTCTTTTTCAAAAAAATTTAAATTTTAAACCTCTTCTTTTAATTGGGCCCTCAATTTAAAATCGGTCTCGTTGGGCCCACTCGAGATCTTCTCCAAGTGTGTCATCACGTCCTCCGAATTTGCCTTCGACGGCCCAGATCCTCACATTTTTTGTTTTCTACAAATTAAATATCAGTGCCACGTGGGACCCCTCGTTCCCTCCACCGGTAGATCTCACGTCCACGTCACCGCCCTCCCTCCTATGTGTAAAAACCTCTTTTCTTGGCTTCATTTCGCTCTGGGTGCAGATGTGGACGCTTCTTGATCCGATCCATCGGTCAGAATTTTGCCAACTCTGATCTCATTGTTGGAAGATCAGCGGACAAGGACTAAATTATTCACGGATTGAAACGTCTAAACCCAACGCAACCGGTTCAATACCGGTTTGATTTTCCAATTTTCCTAAACCCCAAAATCAAAGCACCGACACGTATATATTATAAACTTTAACTTCCAAATTTCTTTTATACATATCAACCTATATAACGGAAAATGAAAACGTTGAGGTTCCAATCAACATCATGGAAGTGTGTATTATTGATATGAATGTAGGACACTTGAATATAAAATTAATAGTTGAAAAATAAATAAATATTATCGTTAACATGCATTTGTTTGGAGTTGGGTCCTCCCTATTTATTAGTTTAGTTAGGTGTTTTGATAGCTCACATAGGTTAAAATAAGAAATTTAGTGATGGAGATGTAAGTTAATAACAACCACATAAATTCCATTATAAGTTTGGTGGGCTATAACTCCAAAATCCTACTTCCAATTTGGGCCTTGATTGGGCCGAATGTTGGGTGGGCTAGGGAGTTGATTGGGCCAATAGGATATGAGTTGGACCAGCCCAACACAAAAAGGAGTTGCATAGTAGAAATGGCAATGATAACCCCAATCAATGTACACGAACCAATAGCTAAGGAATAAAGATTTGAGAAGCACCAAGTAAGAGAATGTAATGTCCATCCATTGCATTAAGCTTGAGACCACCATGTTCTTCACTATTGATCGCTACTTTTTCACTTTAGCCTGGCCCACGTGTGTCTCCCACTTTTACAAAAAATGCGAGTTTTTCTTTTTTTTTGGGGAAAATGTTGGCACTGGCACATATGCCCATTTGTTCTTGAGAGTTGAAAGCTAATCCACTGAGGCCTTGCCACTTCGGCCACTTGGCATTGATGATGGCAAACGAAACAGAAACAGAAACAGAAACAGAAACAGAGGAGCTGGATTCAGTTGAGAAAGAAAGAAAGAACAATTAAAGTGGTTCCCTCTTCACAAAAAAGAGAGGTTAAATCACGAGACGCCCCTGGAAGATCTCCCCTTTGTCATCGTCTTTCTACTGTCATACACAACCGTGAAAATCAGACCCTTTTTTTCTCTTCTACATCCAAGTTTTCCTGTTTTTTTTCTTCTCTTCCTTCTCCTTCTGTTCCATTTCCTGAAGCCATGAAATCCCATGTTCCATCTATACGTTTGGTTTTTTCTCTGATATATTCTGGGTCTCTTCATGAACATTTGCCTAACTATACAAAAGGTACAAATGCTTGACGCGGATAACTGTTCTCTCTCCTATTTTCTGCAAAACTTTTCTTTTTCTTTGGGTCTTGTCCTTTCCATCATTGATTCAACAAATTCATGAATTCCCAAATCCAATTATCATCATTCTTCTTTCGAATCCATGTTTTTGAATCAGTTCATGCACTTCTTAAAAGCAATTCATACTTTCAGAAGGAAAATTCCTTCCGATTGTTTGCTTTGACATAAAAACAACCTTCTGAGTTTGGTATAAACAAACACCATTTCACGTAAACAATCTTCATGGCGACCTCCTGTTTTGGTTCACTTCGCATTCGTAAATCAAAGAGCAAGCCATTATCAACCCTTTTCTCCTTGAAATCCCAGATGAATTCTGAAATGGAAAACATGGAAAGGAGAAGGTTTGATAGTTTGGAATCGTGGTCGATGATCCTTGAGTCTGAAAATATGGAAACTTGGGAGACATCAAAGGAGGATCAGGAGGAGTGGACAGCTGATCTCTCTCAGCTCTTCATTGGCAACAAATTTGCCTCCGGTGCGCACAGTCGGATATACCGTGGAATTTATAAGCAGAGAGCCGTTGCTGTGAAGATGGTCAGGATTCCAAACCAAAAGGAGGAAACAAGAGTCAAACTTGAGCAGCAATTCAAGTCTGAAGTTGCCTTGCTTTCTCGTCTCTTTCATCCCAGCATAGTTCAGGTAAAATTTCAACCTTCTATTGTTTCAAACATAAACAGGTGCCATGCTATTCCTTATAATTCGTCTCTTATTCCCTGTTATTCCTTATGGCAAAAATATTGCCCTTCCCTCCCTGAAACATGAACTGACAACAAAACTTTTTATGGGATGCTAAATTAATGTCCGTTTCCAATACAGTTCATTGCAGCCTGTAAAAAGCCACCGGTATATTGCATAATTACAGAGTATATGTCACAAGGAACTCTGAGAATGTATCTTAACAAGAAAGAGCCATATTCACTCTCGATAGAAACAATACTGAGGCTAGCCCTAGACATATCAAGAGGAATGGAATACCTCCATTCCCAAGGGGTAATCCACAGAGACCTCAAATCAAATAACTTGCTTCTAAACGATGAAATGAGAGTAAAAGTAGCGGATTTCGGAACCTCCTGCCTCGAAACACAGTGTCGAGAAACAAAAGGGAACATGGGAACTTACAGATGGATGGCGCCGGAGATGATTAAAGAGAAGCCTTACACTCGCAAAGTTGATGTGTACAGCTTTGGGATTGTACTGTGGGAGCTCACCACGGTTCTGCTTCCCTTTCAAGGGATGACTCCCGTGCAGGCTGCCTTTGCCGTCGCCGAGAAGGTACCAGTTTTCAAATTCCCACTTCCCCAATGAATGCTGATTTTTTATACTTATATGTTCGAAGAAAAATCTGTTCAAAACAATTAAGTTGCCAAAAATAATAAGGTTAGGGTTTTGAATGTTGAAATGCCTTACTTTGATTTGGGCAGAATGAGAGGCCGCCATTGCCGGCGAGTTGTCAACCGGCGTTAGCACACCTGATAAAGCGGTGTTGGGCGGCGAATCCATCGAAGCGACCGGATTTCAGCGACATTGTGGCGGCTTTGGAGAAATACGACGAGTGCGTGAAAGAGGGTCTTCCACTTGCACACCATAAAGGATTGGTAAACCGAAACGCCATTATTGAACGCTTGAAAGCTTGCGCCTCAACCAGTTCTTCAATACCTGTACATGCCTGAAACTGAGACTGAGCTTAAGCCGCCATAGCTTTGGTAATTCGAAAGGAAGATATTATTTTGATGAATTTTACCTTTGAAGAAGGAAGATGAAATACTGTGTAAAATGACCGGGCCCGCCCTGGATTCTTGGTCCACATCTGGATCATTGTACATAAGGCCCAACTTTCTTGGCCCAGCCCACTGGAAATCTCACCAATTATTAGTCAATCGGTTTAAACTATATTTTTGATTTTCCAACCTAAAATTATTAATTTAATTTCTTTTTTCTTATTTCATCTTTCAACACTTGATTAATTTCAACCTAATATTTTCTGCCAATATTTTATTACCGTCTATGTCACAGATAGGACTACGTTATTATTTATAAAATAGGAATATTAAATCAAATTTTAATTAGTTAAAAGTATTGAAAATAATTTTATTTAGATAATTAAATCTTAATTATGTATTAAATAAACAAACTAAATTAATTAAACCTCAGCTAATATTCCCCATCATACATTTTAGCTAATATAATGAGATAACAAATGAAAATAATAATATATAAAACATATCACTATACGTGTGAAAGTAAGTAAAAGCTATTTGGAATGAGCATACGACCATGAATAAATATATACGTTGCCACATGGCAACACATATTAGCGAAAGATAATATATATTTAGGTATTATATTGATTTGATTTTTTATCTATATGATTAAAGTTGAAAAAGTTAAAAGTTTGGCCTCTATTACATCACATGTACAACGTTGGAGGTACAATCTTACCTTATAATTGATCCAACTCTTGCATTCATTTAAGATAGGGCACAATTGTTTTTGTACTTTCTGAACCCTCGTTTTGTATTTAGTTCCCAACAAGTCATCACCTCAAATGGCTTGTAACAAAAAATAAAACATAACAATTATGTAGTGTTTGTCGAACAACGAATCTTGACAATCGTGTTAGAGGTGTGATGGCCAAATTGTATTTGTTTATGTAAGTGTACTCATGATATTTGTAGACACGAAAAAGGAGTATTTATATTTTATGTAGGTAGTTCCAAAAGTCCTATTGTGAATAGAAAAAAATAATATTTTAAAATTACAAGTTGCACTGAAGGATGATGAGCTAAGTTATAGATGTTCTACAAACTAAAAATTAAACAAGTGCATGCCTTATGACTTGATGTCACTGAGTTAAGCTATGTTAAGTCGATCTAAGTCATCCGTACTAACATTATTGAGGGATAGTCCGACTACGACTCTTCTAATATGTGACTTAAATAATATAATTTTTTTTTTTTTGTAAATAATATGACATAAAGTTTAGAAATCTAAGAAGTGCTATCCATTTGGGACACTATGAACAAAATTAAACTTATGATAATGACATTAAAAAAAAAAAAAAAAAGGTTAGACTAAAAGGCCAAAATTTGTGAATGGCAACTTTAATTGGTCCCTTTTTGGGTTCTCTTTTAGCTAACAATCTTCATGAATTGCAACACATGATCATCATCCACTGCTTTACACACATTTTAAGCACTAAAAAACAACCATTTTTGTGATTAATCCAACTCTTTTTATCTCAAGAAGGAAGAAATATTTATTAACAAGAACTAGATTCTTCTTCTAAACCATATTCTTCTTCCCCCAAAGACTTAAAAACCTTTAACAAATAATGAAACATTAAATTTAACCGATTAAAATGCATAAACGAAGCCAACCCAGATGCCAAAATGTAAACTTTAATCTAAATTAGGGAGACTCCAATGTTGTTCGACGGCATCGAGATTAATTTATTGGGATCTCCACCAGGCTCTCCTGTTCGGAAGTGGGGGAATGGCGATGGACAGCCACCAAAGATCTTTCCAACTATCCAGAATCCCAAAAGGCACTATCAATTCATTTGATGCAGAGGCCATGCATGCACGCTTCTCAATCCCATTAATTCTACTACATATATAATCTATAGATACAGAAGTGGGTCACCCCACAAGCACAAGCACAAGCACAAGCACAAGCCTGAGCCTTAGAATTGCATACGATGATTTTTACAGGAGGGAAGTAATTTACAGAGAGCAGAGCAAACCAAAAATCCAAAACAGAGAAGAAAAACAGAGTCCTATTTTGTCATCTTGTTAGATGATTAAGAGAAGAACAAATCTAGGTTTGGGATTCAAATTGATTGTTAGCCCCAAGCACCCCAAATTTTCTCCCCCACAAAACTCACGAACCTCCTAACCGATCCTCTGTCTCCTTCTTCCTCCTCCTCTTTTCTGTTACTGTCGCGGCTGCTCTCTTGCTGCACACAACCCGATGTCTCGTTCATCTTCACCTTTCCGACCCTTGATTCGGACCGATTCAACTCACCCGAGCCCGGTTCGTTCTTCTTCTTCCGTCTCTCTTTCTTGCAATTTCTCTGCGACGTTGCTGCGGCTTTGGATTTAGCTAATCCGTCTTCGTAAGCTTCGATTACTTCGTGAATTAGTTGCCGATTGGGCGATGAGTCCCATCTCCCCCAGTAACGCCGATAGCACATGAAACAATCGCAGTCAAAGAGCGGAGCGTGATCGACACCGCTCTTCCCGCTGGAGATTTTCCCAGCGGCTTTTCGGCTGCTGGTGTTGGAACAGGAGATGAGATAGGCCAGGACTTCTTTGTCATCGGCGGATAGCGCCATCGTGAGAGAAAATATGGCGGCTGGAAGAAACGAAAGGAAGTCGGAGATGATCGGCGTGGATGGATGGACAGAGCTTTTCCGGCGGAGCTTCTTCATGGTCAAATAAGAAGAGAGATGGAAGAAGAAGAAGAGGAAGGTAATGGGTTTTGGTGGAAGCGGGGTTGATAGTTTATGAGGTTTTTATTTATTATTTTCTACTCCACAGAATGGTATCTGAGAGAGAGTTGATGACGTGAGACGATGGTGAATTGGGCAATATTCAGGTGCGACGCACAACACGTACAATTCATCACGTGTGGTTGATTCTCACATCAGATTTCTATTTCCGTTTAATCAGTTTTGGAGTCAACCATATTTCATTGAAAAAGTCAGTCGAGCACACCTCAGTCTGACCAAACGCTGCCGTTTATGACTGGGCATCCACTCAGTCTTGGCCCATTCCAATTTTTTTCAACCTTAATTTAATATACAATTTTTAAACTAATCATTTCAATTAAACTTATGCCACAAGTCAGTCTCCTCTACCTGTTCCTAAGTTCAAAAGCCAAGCATCTAAGCTCGACCTAAAATCAAACTTTGTTCAATTCGATGCAGTATCGAAAGTGAGCTTAAAGTCCAAAGTTCAAAGACCAACCATCTAAGTTCAAATCTAATTTCGACCCAAATTTTGAAGACGAACCATCTAAGCTCGACCCATAAGTCAAACTTTGAGCTGAAATGACACTTCTAAACCTCTTCTTTATCATTAGTTGTCTTGGGTTTCCATACTTATGTTTCAATCTCAACCTAAGTTTGAATTTTTCATTCTACTCCTAGAGGGGGAGAGAAGAATGAGTCAACAATGATTTGTTTTTGGAGGTTGGTGTAAACCACGTACTGAGTGATTCAAACAAGTAGTTGATGAAGAAAACATATTAGTTTATATGCAATAATCCTTCTTCTTTGCTCGTGTATTGAGTCGACTTGATATGTTAAAAAATATTGGACGTAACTCCATCTTTTCCAACCGAATTTCTTTCCATATCAGAAAACGATGAACATGACCTACCAAAAGGGATCGAGAAGAACTTTGTAGACGACTCTTCATCCATGATTCAAGATGTTCGAGCTCCAACATGCTTGTTGAATGCTCAACACCGAGATAAGCCTGCGAAGAAACCATTCTAGATTTTCACAGCTTTGTCCTGGTTTCTGGTTCTTGTCGTGGATGCTTAGTGACAAAAAATTCATTTACTTTGTTGGACCAAAATAGGAATTTCCACATAAAATTTATGGGAATTGTGTAAATTTTATATATATATATATATTTTTAAGAAAAAAAATTAATACATAATTTTCATTTTTAATATCACTTCTATTAATAAAATGTAAAACTATGGTGTTTAACATAATTTTTTAAAATTCAAAATTCAATATCAAATATATTTTTATATAAAAGTCAGCGGTAAGGATCACATATGTTTAATTAAGCATTTAAAAAATAATTAAAATATAATTTTAGCTAAAAACAAACCCCATCTCGTCGCTTGTAAGGATCAACGGTCACGATCTCCCGAACCCGTCCTCTTTGCGCTTCACTAAAGCTTCCTTTTAAATGGCCTCGCTAGGGCTAATAATCTGTCCTTCTCACAGCATCCTCCACAACTTCGACGTCGCGCCCAATTCATTCAATAGACAATGTTCTCATCGACGTAGAACTGGAAGCAATGTCTTTCGCATTTGTAAGATCTGTTTTCCTATGGTTGCATGTACCAAGACAAGGGTGAGAGTTAATCGATTCCCTTGTTCTTGACCGGCCGAAGAGGCTGCAGCTAAATCAAACCCACACAAGTTAACTGGCCGGTCGTTGAATTCGATCTAATCGGATCTTCGTCGACGAATCTGCTTACCGAACTTCTTATATTTTCTTTTCTTCTCAATCCGTTTTGGATGAGTTTTTTGTGTGTCTGGTTTTGTTTGATTACGAGATGCTATAGGGCTCCGAATCTTCCCTCGCATCAATTTTTTTTCCGTCACCGTCCAGGCAAGCTGCTTTGATTTCCTAGCAGTTTGCGTCTATCGGTGCTTTCATTTCTAAGAGATCGGGATTGTATGTCTGAAATTTACTGAACAAAGGAATTGTTGAAAATGGAAATTCTGAAGTTGGGACTGTTTCTATTTCTAGGGCTTTGAAATTTGTAGCTCAAATCAAGTTAAAGCCCTGTTTAAAGATCTGTACAGGACACACCAGGAGCTTGTGGTGATATAGATTTCTCCGCATTTGGTTGCAAAACTTGGGACAAAAAAAGCACAAGAACAAAAAGAATCAAACCCCTAATACGAACAATCAATATGAGCAGATTTTATGTACAATTTATTGACTACAGCAGCAACCCATCGGCGGCACCAAAGGCAGCGGTTAAATTTCCAACCATGATACCTCTGTTTCGACCAAAATCTCCTCTGCAATGGCTGGTTTTGAAACAGGCTGAACTCATTCCCGGCGAAGTTTCTGCTTCTGCCGATCCTGACCCTTTATGGTTTGTGGTCCGCTTGTAAGAACCAAACCATTTTTCCTGCATGTACCCCTTTCTTCTCCATGGAGGCACATGCATGTTCCTAATATTCATGGATTGTTTCATGGCAGAGCACATTAGTTTCACCACCTGCTTCAGCTCCTCCAGATTTCCGACGAAGATCTCTGGAAATGTGTTGAGTAATGACGTGTATTTTCTGGTTGGACGAGCAATTTCAAATTCTCTGGCTAGAAATATTTCTACAATGTACCGATTTCCACCAAAATTGACGTCGATGTACTCATGATCCCCTGCCGGAAATGATTGGAGTTTCTCCCCCTTCGATTTGCAGAGTCCTGCACGACCCAAACAAAATCAAGTGAATTAAACTCCTTGAACGAAAATTGGGTTCAATTTAAACTGAAAACGAAACTCAAACTCACCGGCATCGAAGCCTTTTCTGCGCAAATGTGCCATCAATTTTCGTTTAATCCCCTGAAACGATCTTCCTCCGACGAGTTTCTTCAGTGCTTGTTCTGCTTCAATTCTGATCTCGTCGCTCTTATTATCCCGTGAACCAAACAGATTTTTTAGTTTGATAACCCCTGCATCTGAATCACAAGAGAAACCACCATCTGATTCTTCTGTACTGCCATCCTCCTCCTCCCCTTCATTAATTTCCACATCATCTCTTTCCATGAACGATTTGACGAGGTCGAAGAGGTCGGCGGCGGAGTTTTCCGGCGAATGGTCGCTGCCGCTGCTGGTGTCCCAGAGGGCGGCTTCAGCACCATGGCGGAAGATTTCGGCAAATCTATCCATTTTGTTGGGCATAGTTATGAAATCCGAGTGAAGATTTAACGTTTAGTTTATAAAGTAACCGAATATTTGGCAGAGAAGGGGAGGGTGTGGAAGAAATGCAGGATGTGGTCATGGTGAGGTGAAAATGGAGTAAGGGTGTGGTGTACGGTTCAGAATTGTCTATTCAAAATGATGAGTAACTATGGAGCAGCCATAACGCTGACGGCAGCAGCCCTTCAGGTGACTGCACCCAAAAATCAAACTTCATTGCTTCGACCGAGTCTACACGGACTACGTATGAACAATTCATACCCTAACCATCTTTTAGTTACTTAAAATGGGATTAATAAAGCTTAATCATTACACTAAACTTAACGGCGTTTGTTTAGCATACGACGCCATTGAATGACTTGTGATAACATGCAACCCTTGTATGAGCACACGTGGCTCCCACGAGCTCCGTGTTCACTGCACTCAACACGTCACTTCTTTTGTCGTCTTCTACACCTCATTAGCTGAATGCGGAAACTTGGTGCTGCTTTCTTTCAACATATTCGAATATTCCTTATTTTATTTTATTTTATTTTATTTTTGTCTTTTTTTAATGTTTGTTTAGAATAATTACTATTATCCATCTAGCATGGCCACCGGCAGTGACCATCTCCAGTGTCCACATTCATTGAATCTGGATTTTTTATTTATTTATTTTGTGTGACCTTTAATTTTTGGTTTGGGGTATATAAAAGTTAGTTGTCAATGGGTTAGCAACTAATTAATTAATTAAAAAATACAAACATTTCGTAAGTCAATAAAATGGGCCTGGTTGGACTGAAAAGAGATGGGCCTGGTACATAGATACCGGGCCAAGACTGTCGGCAGCACCGGCCCAGCCGACGCCCCGGAGACCACAAATTTAAAGAAGACACGGAAAAACGTCGGAATGAACACGAACGAACGGTCAATGGAATGAAGGGATTCAGATTCGGGGAGGAAAAGTTGAAGAAAGTTATATAAACCAATCTTGAAAGATTTAACTATTTTAAACTCGGAGTTCCAATTAAAGGAAGTAGCAGCTGGTCTTCGTCCCTTTCTTCCTTTGAAGGCGAAAGTCAGATTATCGACCATTGAAATTGATCAGCTTCCCGAAGAAATCTGAGAATGAACAACAAAGTCATCTACACCAGCTAAGACGGTTCGTTTTCTCTCTCCCCTCGTCAATGGAATTTAGAGCGTACAATGTTTTCTTTTTTCTTCGGCTATTCATTGATTTTGCGTTTTCCATTTCCGTTTTTCCCTCTTGGATTCAAATACTCCAAAGTAGCAAGAACTGGGAAGGGTGAATCCTTGATTGCGTTTTTTTTGGATTTGATTCTGAATATAAACGTTCGGTTGTGGCCTGCAGGTAACCGTTCAAGAATCCTGATAGATCTTGTTGTTTATGTGATTTATTGTAGTCTACCGATAAACAGGGGGAATGGAATGTGTAATCTGGGATCTGCTTCTTCTTGTTCTACGTTTTGGGTTGTGAGTGCATTAATGACTTCGATGGATTCTTTGTTTTGAATGCTATGAGATTCCGTTTTGACGTAGATTACTGTTAATTAGAGCCATATTAGGATTTAGGACGATGTAATCTTGAATGGACATAATTGAGGTTTGTATATTTTTAATAGTATCTGAATCTGAGAGCCTGATGAACCAACATATTCCATCTACAGGCGGTAGGTTTAGTATTTGATGATTATCTCCACCTTCTACTCCAGGCTATTTTGCTGAATATTAGCGATCTCGAGGGCGAGGTGGTCGAGGATGGCTGATGGAATATCAAGTTTCTGGGGTCCTGTCACATCTACAATAGAGTGTTGTGAGAAGAATTATGCTTTTTCTTCTTATATTGCCGAGTTTTATAACACAATATCAAACATCCCAACCGTTCTTTTGGCTCTGATCGGTCTTGCAAATGCTTTGAGACAAGGTTTTGAGAAGAGATTTAGTGTACTTCACATATCAAATATGATACTGGCCATTGGCAGCATGTTCTATCATGCCACATTGCAGAAAGTGTAAGTTCTAATGGCATGCTTTTGGTGTTCTGGTTGCAGTTCTTTCCATTTAGATATTTGAAGGCTGTGTTCTTGAATGTTTGTTCATTACTGAGCTTTAACAACCAACGATCAACTCTTTGTTTTGTAACCAGGCAACAGCAAGGTGATGAAACACCAATGATCTGGGAAATGCTTCTTTACATGTATATTCTCTATTCACCAGATTGGCATTACCGAAGTACGATGCCAACATTCCTCTTCCTATACGGGGCCATTTTTGCTGTGGCTCATTCAATTCTTCGTTATGACATCGGTTTCAAGCTGCACTATGTGATTCTTTGTCTCCTCTGCATACCTCGAATGTATAAGTATTATATATACACAGAAGATGCCTCGGCTAAGCGGTTAGCGAGGCTGTACTTGCTGACTCTTCTCTTAGGCATTTTCTGTTGGGTAATCGATCGGGGTTTCTGTGAGAAGATATCACATTGGACCATCAATCCTCAAGGTCATGCCCTGTGGCATGGTTTCATGGGTTTGAGTTCCTACTTTGCTAACACATTCTTAATGTTTTGCCGGGCGCAGCAAAGAGGATGGGCACCAAAAGTTCTTCATTTAATGGGAATTCTCCCCTACGTGAAGATTGAAAAACCCAAAACCCAGTAAGAAGACACGAATTTGAAGACAAATTATGACAATTTTTGACCTGTGTTGAGTGTACCCTGGAGGTAGAGAAGAAAAAGCATGCAATCTTTTGGGCTATGTTACTTCTTTTCCTTCTTTTCACTGTAAGGAATGAATAGAAACTTAGATTTTTGTAGTACAAATAACAGCAGTTACGTATTATTGTTCATTGACGACAGGGCTTGATTCTCGAGGATTTATGCGTTACAGAGTGACTTAGCATTTAACTCTTTCACAGAGCTGAAGCGCAACATCTGTAAAATATTGCAGTATGTTCAATCTATTTTACTCCCTGTAGTTTTCTTTTAACCTTCTGTGCGCCACTATTTTTAATGTTTTGATTCTTCAATTTCATTTGTTTTATTTAACTTCTTATTTTAGTGAAGATTTAGCCCTGACTAGAATAGAAAAGACCCATTGCACAACTTTTAAAGTAATGGCTACAGCTGATAACTTTACTGTCTAAAATGGTTTCTTTTATACGATTGCATACTCTCTTCAACTAAAATAAAAGAATCATATAAGCCCTAAACAAATGATATAGTTATTGATTACACATCTAAGAAACAACTCGATTTTTCAGGCTATCCAGAAAGATTATTATTTATGACTAATCACTAAGGTACAATGTCCGAACTTTTTCTAAACAACGAGATAGATTGGAAGGCATCAGATTTTTATCTCTAAGCTTCTAACTAATCATCCGCTGTTGCAAGATTTGGCCCAGCTTCATGTAAAGAGCTGTCTGTTCCTCGAATGTGAGATTCACTAGTATCTATAAAGCAGCAATACACAGCATAGGTGATTCTCCAACAAAGGATAAGCTTTAGATCATAAACAGAAATGATGGAGCATAAGACTACCTGGTCGTAGATTGTGTCAACAGATATGCTCTGGGCCACAACAAAGGATTGATGAAATATGTAGGCGAATACAGCCATCACCATCTACATAAAGTATCATGCAAATATGACAGTGAACAAATGAGGGAAAGGGTAGCACTATCTGAATAAGTAACAAACAGAACTATTTTGATATGCGACACAAATATTCATACTATTAAACCAGCTAGAACCTCCCACAGGATAGAGGACAAAGTGCAAAACTACTCATTTTCGACTTCAAGGAGTAGGTTCCATATTAGAAATTGGAATCTTCGAACTAAAATGTTCCAATTCTAATAATAGCCACTGCATCAAGGGTTTAATTTCTACAAGATTTCGGTGGTTGGGACACAATCTTCGAAAATAATTTCATCAAACTTCAGTACTCCTAACCTTTAACGCTTTTTGAAGTAGAAATAATTTGAAATATAGTCGCAATTAAACTAAGAATCACTATCAAGTTCCAATTAGAGAACCTAATTGTAAAAGTCGTCCAAATGATTCATGCAATGCCTTAAATTAGAATGTATGAATCTATGGTTTCTTTTACAGATCTATTGTTGATCAAGAGTTTTGCATTAGGAAAATGAATTAAAACGCAGCAAAGTTCGGAATTCTCAGTGGCTCACCTGACAATCCATTCTATCTGTAATTCCACCATGTCCAGGAATACTATCACCAAAATCCTGAATCAAACAGAGAAATGATATAAGATAGATAATCTCAAAATAAAGACTTCACGAAACTACACGAGGACAGTATTAGGAATGGACCTTGACTTTGAAGGCTCTTTTAAAACCACTCGCAAAGAAGCCTCCAAAAGGAGCAATTATTGATGAAAATAAACCGAGACATAATGCATGTCCTTGAACTGGCAATATGCTTACCTTCTTCCATGGGAACTGAAAGAGAACACAGAAATGTGAGTTCCTCAGAGATTTGGAACAATTTCATGAAGTACTGTAAGCTAAACAATATTAGGAAGAAGGAAAAGAAGATAGATGAATGACAGATCAAGGGTGCCAAAAAGCCTCCCACAGCATCAAGAATCATGTTGACGAAAGATTCAATAAAAGCTATTAGTTAAGGTTTGATCTCTAACATAATAAATATTTGGCAGGAGAACGGTGAGAGCACCTACCTTAAAAAGTTGAAAAAAAAAATATATATTTATATATATATATATATCAGAATGATTCCCCTCCTACCGACCAAGTAAGGTGAGAATAGACAATTTTGTAAGGGCACAACAGAATTAGCTCTAATACCCATTGTTGAGTAAGCAACATCCACCTTTATCTCTCAATCTCTTGACTGGAAGCCCATTTCTTTATTTTGCTTTTCTAGGTTTTGCCAGTTTTTCTAGCTCTTTTTGGCTTGGGCATTATTTTTAATGTATTGTCCTCTTGTATTCTTTCGATTGTTCTCAACGGTTTTCTTCATAGTTACAGTCAATATGGGCTCATAATTTTTTGAAGATTTGCTCTTCCTCTCTTATGTAAAATTAAATGGGCGATGGAAAACAAATTAACGCCAATAACTTGCATAGAAAATCTCATAAGAGAAAAGCATATGACAAAATCTGGATAGAAATAATACTATACATATCTAAAAGATACACATCAGGCAGATATAATATTTTCGTATATACTCGGAACACTATAAATTGCATATATCCTACTCTCTTCTTGTCTCTATCCAACTCATCGAGGATCCCTCGGCAATTCTCACTTCTCCTGGTTCCTTTCTAAAGCCCAAATGGCTTTATGACGACTCTTTCTACTTCATTATGTAGCTCAAATGGCTCACACCTCTCAAGTAAAGCTTGAGTGACTCACAGGCTCACCTTACCCCACTACTCTCCTTTTGTTAGAGGTTTAAGTTATGGTCTGGTTGACCAATAATTCTAAGTTATAACAAATGTAAACTGAAAATTTTCAACCAAAAATAAACTGAAAAGTGATCAGAAATCAGCAATACAATATAGCCTCAGCTAAAGACTGGTCAAACACACACAGAATATAGATGCATACATTGGAGACAATTTTACTATACGATTAAAGGAAAGCCAGAAAAGAAGTGAAAGAAGAGATATACTATTCATATAAATAAGATTCAATTTATAGTCTTTACTGACCCAATCAGGAGTCCATCCTGGTAAAGTGAAAGATTCCGGCTTAAACAAAGGACCAGGATCACAGTGAAGCCAACCAGTTGATAAATCCTGAGCTCATTGAACCATACGACAGTAAGAGCTTCAAAATATGAAAAAGCCTCCTCAAAAGCAAGAAAGGCGGTTTTGCTAAACAATTACCGTTCTTGGACAAGTAAGCCACTGATAACGACCCATGACATTCGCAAGCTGAAAAACAAACAAATATATCATAACTTAGTTCCTCAAGTACAAATGTCTAACTGCATATTGTTATCAAGTAATCATTACTACAAGAAAATGACGGACAGACAGACGCGCATAACTTAGCCATCTCTTCAACTGCGCATTGCTACTAAGTAACCATTAAGACGGAAACCACCCACGACAGACAGACATGCACGACCTATGAGCTAGTTAAGCACTACTTTGGGCAATATCAAGCAATCCAGACCTGATCATAGTGTTTCATAATTGTGAAAATAGTTGAGTAACATCAGGCACGGGTTGACATAAGAAACTCAATAAATCCAGCGACGAAAATGGAAAGTAAGGAAAATTTTTCTTACACCAAAAGCAGATATCATAGTCAATATAGAGGCTCCTATAAATCCCTCCCAAGTTTTCTTTGGAGATAATTTGATCAATGGTGTTCTTCCAAAGAAGAACCCAACTATATAGGCAGCGATGTCATTGATAACAATAAGTGATGCTGGTAGAAGAAACCTGCAGAAATATTACTCATTCGTAAGGAAATAGTGAAATTCCAGGATAAACTTCAAGCCACATAAGATTTTATTCTCTTTAACAGAATTTTTTTTTCCCTGTGAGAAGGCTGAATTACCAGATGATTCCTTCAAAAATATTGGCTACTGTGAAAGAGGACTGTGTAAAAACGACAATTAGAATCATATGCGTCCATGCATACTGCCCAAATTGATATTTATACATCTTCTTCTTTAAAGTAAGAATGAACCACATAAAGCCTGAGCCCAACAAGAAGCGGAGAAATAATGAGGTAAAATGTTACAAAGTTGTCAAGAAAATTATAATTTCCAGACGATTGAAGAAACTAACATAATCAGGCAAACGAAAAATTCAGGAGTGAAAAAATTAATAGAAATTAAACCAAAAAAACATACAAAATTTCGCAAATTGCACACCACGAAATGATGTTGATTGCAATGGTTAAAAGTGTCAAGAAGGTGATACTTATCATAGGATCGCTACAAGAGGTTCACTAACCTGCAATATATAAAGAATAACAAATAACCATATGATACTTGATGAGACTGCTCACTAGCTGATATAAAAATTTATCCGAGGTGACAGTATTGACAAGCCGCTGACTCAAAATGCGACCATACACAAATAGCATTGCTGTGAAGAAGAAATGCCTGCACTTGAATTCTAACCAATTAGTAAATACAAAATGCAAGCTCCAACAAAAGGAAAAGTAAAGGCATGCTGCTCAGAATCAGAAGTAACAGGTAATGTAGGGACTAGAGGATATACCAAAGAAAATTTCAAGAAAAGCCTTGACATACCAATTTAACAGTCGAAACCCTGGTAGACGAGTATCCTCGCGAGCTTTCCTGAGTAGGTTGAACAGTTCCTTGGCCATGAAAACTTGAATAACCACAACCATAGCAGTAATATAGAGATGCCCAAAGTAGATTATTAGAGCAAAACCCCCAATCATCCAAATTGTTGAGTATGCACGGATTAACATCGATTTGTATTTGCTCCGGTCATCAACAAGTAAATTTCTTTCATTGGGTTTGCCATCCTCCGAAGTTACCTAAAAAATAAATTATTAAAATTAACATCGTAAATTTTCAATGTAAAGCAGTCAATATCCAATGCATAATTGCTGACACCTACAATGACAGCGAGTATAGCTAAAGATAGTACAAATGAGTACAGTGTTTGAAGTGACAGAAAGAACTGTAGCATGAAGCTGTTTATACAATTAGACATCCCTGTTATTACTACCACTAGAAATTTAACTACCGAAATACATTTCCAATTTAGCTATTCGTAGTAAAAATGGTACATATCGAAGAGAGAGATGAAATGACACACATCACTTGGGCGCCTCCGATGCCGAGTCCGGCCACCAGGCGTCGACGGACTATTGGTACTAATATCGTTCAGCATGATGAGAAGTGTACTTATCACAGGATCCTAAAAATCATTAGCAGCACAAGAACTGTTCCCTGAAACATAAATTCAAAACAAGACCATAAATCCAGGAATGAAAATATTGATTTCAACGAACATAGCAAGCTGATGCAAATAAACATGCTAGTCATTAAAACAGCTGAGTTCCGGAAAATCAGAGTTATGCAGTTCTCAGCTCGAGTCTTAGACATCCAAAAAGCTCGAATTCAAAAAAGCAACAAGAAACCGAATACTCGATAACATTTCCAATAAAGAAATTACTCCAAGCAAGCTATCAGTTCACTGCTAAGTACTAGAGATAAATCTAAGACGATTGAGTTTAGTACCAAACAGTTCGTTCTAAACCAAAGCAAAATTCAAAAAAGAAGTCGATAGTACCTGTAAATTCGAAGTGAAACAAGTATTATCCCCAGACAATTCCGAACCCCGGCAAAGCAAGTGCAGAAAATCGAATAGCGGGAGAGAAAAACAAAGGCGAGGCAGAAGAAAGCAGGAAATAAACACGAATAATTTGAGGAAGAAAAGGCATCGCAAATCGATTTCTTTTCTTGTACAAAGACGGTTGAAATTCGAATCCTAATTTCTTTTCTTTTCTTAATAATTATTTTTTTATGTTAATATCTCCCTCTGAGTTGACGGCATATGTTCGTCGTCCAGTGGCCGTTGGATCTTTCTAATCCTTACACGTGGCTTACTACCGTAGGCCTTTGTCCTTCGGCTGCCCCCCCGCTCGCAGCTTTTTAGCGGGTTTAAAAATTGGATTTTTAACGTGGGCTTTTTTATTTATTATTATTCTATTTCAAAGCTGAAAAGATTCCATTGAAGATTTCAAAATATTTCCTTCCAAAGTCCTTCCCAAATTGCAACCATTTGTCAAATATAAACTTCAAAGGATTAAATATTATTAATGCTTTTTTTTACCGATAATTCCATAAATACGACCTTTAGTCAATGTATTACATAAAAGAGATTATTCAGCTTTCATAATCTTTTTTTTTATTCATTTTTTAACAACTTTTAAAAAATAAAATTTAAGCTTTTTTAATTTAATTTTTAAAATATATATTAAAAATTGAGCTACTAATCTTAATTTAATCAATAAGGTTAATCTAATATTTTATAATTGGGTTGGATTGGAGTCGTTAATTAATAAATGATATTTAGACCGATAAAATTATATTCTAATAATTAAATATGTTTAAAAAAATAGTATAAACTTGGTTAAGGGTTGAAATTGCAGCCCTGTTTGAAGGTTAAAACCTGTATGTAATAAAATTAAAAGCATGAATAGAGAATTTACCCAACTGTAAATTATTTCTACCCTTGATTTGGCAACTACTTCGTACATTTATTAATAAAATCTATATGCGGTGAATACTGATCATACGATGTATGCTGCTGAAGTAATAAACTTAAAAAAGGAAATTTAATTAATTGAATTGGCCCCCTCTATCCTCCCTCCATAAAAGCACAGACAGAGTTGCAGTCCTCGCTCCATTTCATTTCATCGCTGCCGTTCCTCTCGAACTCTACTTCTTCCCCAAAATCATCGACTGTATACGCCATCGTCTTTTACCTGCAACATGGCTCTCAATTCTTTCATCGAAGTTCATCCGGATTCTCACTTCCCCATTCAAAACCTTCCCTACGGAGTATTCAAGTCTGGACCTGGTTCCGTTCAGCGACCTGGTGTGGCTATTGGCGAGTACGTGTTGGACCTCTCTGTAATCGCCTCCGCTGGCCTCTTCGAAGGGCCTCTCCTCAAGAATTCTGACTGTTTCCTTCAGGTATGGTGGTTAAAGATTAACAGTTTAATGGCGATCTTTAAATTGCGATATTCACCCTGCCGGCTCGTCTTTGTCGAGCATGTAAACGGAATCCAAGATTGAGATCAAGACTGTAGTCTAGTTTCTTTCTTTCTTGAAATGCCGGTCGATGGATATTGATCGCTCAACTTAGCAATTACTAACTCTACTGTCGTGGTTGGTGCGCGTAAATGTACGTTTAATTGCTCGTGTCGCCATGACTTGGTTTACTTGCATTTTCACGACTTCATTTTTCCATAAGTTTATCTTTGCTTTTCTTTTTCCTTTTTTTCCTGGCAAAATTGGCAGTGTTAAGAACCACTGATCTCCATAGTGGTACTATTTTATTCACTTTGCCTTTGCCTTTGCTTTGTGCTTTCCAAAAAGCCTTATACCAATGAAGATGTATTCCTTACTTATAAACACACCATCATTCCTGATCTATTTGTTTTTTTTCCAATTTCGGTGTAGCCTGATCTTTTTTTTTTTTTTCTTTTCCAACTTCGATGTAGCCTAATCTAAACAAGTTTCTGTCTCTGGGACGGCCTGCATGGAAGGAAGCTCGTGCGACGCTTCAAAAACTATTATCGTGTACGTTTTCTGTAAGTCTTATAATCAAGATCTTGATTCAATACGAGAAAAAAAGTTCCCGAGAATAAATTAGAATTATATTGGTAGGATGATGTATCAAGATTTCAGGTTTTACTATTTGTATGCTTATTGTTTCTTCATTTGAAGATAATGTTTCGCGTGTGTTTACATGCTTATCATACCAATGAAAGAACTCGTTTTCTCTTGGTGCAGCTACTGAACCAGCCTTGCGTGACAATGAAGCTTTAAGGTCAAGGTCACTTATTCCACTGGTAATAATGTGCAAAATTCAGAATGCTCAAATTTCCCATCAGATATCTGCCTATCTAATGTCAATAAGATGTTTACATTTCCAGAGTAGTGCAGAGATGGTTCTTCCTGTGGCAATTCAGGACTACACGGACTTCTTTTCTTCTATGCATCATGCAAAAAATTGCGGAGCTATATTTCGCGGTTCTCAAAACCCAATGCTTCCCAACTGGTTTGTGGATATTGAATGTGAAGCAATAACTCTTCAACGTCCCCTTTCCTTTTGTTCTGAAAGTTGAAAATCCTATGTTCATATATATAGGTTCCACATTCCAATTGCATATCATGGACGTGCATCATCCATTGTCATCTCAGGAACAGACATTGTTCGACCTCGGTACGCAAACTTTTTTGAGTTTCCCCTTATTTTGTTTGTTGAGTATGTAGTTTTTTCTTCTTCTTTTGTACGAGAGTTTAAAATGAGATAGAGATGCTTATCTATATGCCAATCTTTTTGAAACTTGACTGGGGTGGGGATGAATATAATGGCCTTGGATGTCATTCATTTATTTAATTAATGCCTCATCCTCTAATGATGTCAATCATACTCCTTATTAGATAAAAGAACTTTAGGTTCGATTATAATAGGCTTGTTTGTATTGTTGTCAGGGTTTGTTCTTGCTCTGATTCCTTATAACAGACTTTATAGGTTCAATCATACTTCTGCATCATTTTGTCCACTGGTTCAGTCAAATGTTCCCACTTGGTTATTGTTTTTTTGATACAATACTCCCTTCTTTCTAGTATGGGTTCATTCTTAGGTTGTTATCTTTAGACTTTTCTCATGCCCTTTTTCAGAGGCCAGAGCACCCCGGTCGAAACCTCTACACCAAATTTTGGTCCTTCTGCTAAGTTGGACTTCGAGCTGGAAATGGTTAGAGTTCTAAACTCAGATGCCTATGCATATTTTTTTACAAGATATTGGTAGTGTTACAGATCATGTTATGTTCTACTTATAGGTACAATTTTGACCTCTGACGTTAAATGTTAATGTTGCGTACAGGCTGCTGTTGTTGGTACAGGAAATAAATTGGGAAAGCCTGTGGATATAAATGAAGCAGAAAATCATATTTTTGGCCTGGTTCTGATGAATGATTGGAGTGGTAAGAATACTTAGCTTTGCTAATTTATAAGGTTCTGCTTGCTTGCTCGGTCAGTGTCTGATACTTCGTCTTTTCACAGCTAGAGACATTCAGGCATGGGAATATGTTCCTCTAGGGCCCTTTCTTGGGAAGAGTTTTGGTAAGTATAAAAATTTGTTTTTCCTTATCGTTTTTAGTTATAGAAGCTGAAGCTATAACTTGTACCTTTGTCTTTACTGTTAGAGATGGTATTTGCATTATTTTGGTTAGAATTCTTACCCTATTTTTCTATATGATGTCTGTTTTAGGTACTACTATATCCCCTTGGATTGTTACACTAGAAGCCCTAGAGCCTTTCATATGTGAGGCTCCCAAGCAGGTATTGAAACTCCATATCATCTGTGTGTGTGTGTGTGTTTTCCTAAATGAAAATTGTAACGCCATTTTTGCCCTGTTTGCATGTTCTGTGTAAAAGCTCTAACAGGTCGTATGATTTGTACTTTTTGTTGTAGGATCCACCTCCATTGCCATATCTAGCTGAAAAGACATCCAAGAACTATGACATCCCACTGGAGGTAATTAATTCATCTTTATTAATCATTATATAGCACTGTATCCCATGATTTTCTCTTATTACATTATTGACTATAATGTTTTCTAATAAAAACCAGCACTTTTTTTCTCCCTCTTTGCATTTTATATGTCTCGTTCTCTGAGCTATAGAGTTTGTTTTTGTGTTTGAGATCTTGATGAATTTTTCTTCCTACTTCAAGGTTCAAATTCGACCTGCTGGCCAACAAGATACACATGTGGTGACAAGAAGCAATTTTAAGCATTTGTAAGGAGGCATTAGTACTTTTTCAATGTCATTTATAAATACCGAGTGATGATCATTCCTTACCCCCTCTAAAAAACCATGGATAAGTGAATCTAGTTATACTTGTACCAAGCTGTGTCCTTTCATACACTTAGTCCAGGTGGCAGAGATGAAATCTAATTAGTCTGGGCAAGATGATTAAAGAAGCCTACAAGATTGCTCTGGATTTTTTAGCCATAACAAGCTCTAGCATGTTTCATATGCAGCAGTTCATTGACTCTTTTCATCGTAATTATTATGGATTTTTGGTTGGAGCGTGGTGTCTTGTATTTGCTTTCTCGATTCTTGATTTTTACTTTCAGCAATGTCTGTGGTACTTCTCTATCTTTCCTTTATTTACTCGTGGAATGTGTAGGTATTGGACGCTGGCTCAACAGCTTGCACACCATACTAGTAATGGCTGCAACTTGCAGCCAGGTGATCTCATGGGCAGTGGCACCATAAGTGGACCTGTACGACTTCTACTCATGATCCATGTTGCATTTTTTGCAATTCCATGAGTGTGTGTTTTCTTGTTTTAAATAATGTTTGTTTGGAATAGTCTTATAATTTTCGAGTTGTGTTCCCCACTTTGGTTTGAACACAGGAACAAGATTCTCTAGGCTGCTTGTTGGAGTTAACATGGAATGGGCAAAAGCCATTGGAGTTATTAAATGGGATATCTCGTAAATTTCTGGAAGATGGAGATGAAGTCATCTTCACTGGTCAATGCAAGGTTTATATTTTTATCAATTTTATCTTCTTTCCTGAGTTCTTAGCACATCGGAATTAGTAATTACTAGTGAGGTTTGTAGCAGTTTACAATCGTCCTATGTTCTTTGAATTTCCTACATTGACCATGGTACTTAAAATTTGCATCGAACGTTTACCAAGTAGGTCATTGTACGATAAAAATGTCCTGCTTAAGAAGAGGAACTACCTTCACCTAGAAATTATGAGGATTATTGAAAGGATTGTAAAATGAAAGTTTCATTTCGTTCTGATACCAATTGTTTCTTGTGTCATACATGATGCCTTCGACATATAATCTGGCATTTTATTTTATTGCAGGGAAATGGTTACACTGTTGGATTTGGGACATGCACTGGAAAGATTGTTCCTTCGCCTCCCTTGGAAGATTGATGGAGCCGTAGAGTTGGTAACTATCATTACCATCTTAAAACTGAGTAGATGTTTTTCTGTTGTAATAAAACCTGTGTAAGCTGTAGCATGCGGTAAACAACCTGGACTCATATGATCTAGAAATCAAGTGCGTTGAATGAAATATCTTACTTTTGCCAGTTTTCAAGTGCCTTTTTCTGCTAAATCCTAATGTCAAATGTTACTACCTCTAGTGTTTATTTGCTTATTTAAAAATATTTAATTACTATGCACGTTGAGTTTTATGTTGTGAAAAATTATAAAAAATCTAAAATGATTATTGAACGCAATGAAGCCCCGATACAAATGTATCATAATTGAAAGATTATAGTCAGCTCAAAAGGCAATTCTGAAACACTTTTTTAGTAGCCACCTCAAACGCCAGCCATTAACGAACAGAAAACTGGAAGAAGAAGAGCGAGAGAACAAAGAAGAAGAAGCCCAGATACAATGGTGCTGCTCGCCTCTTCTTTGGCGGCTCCAAATTCAAATCCTTCTGCTCCTAAGCATTTGCAGTTGCTAGGAGTAAGATCATTTCACACATATATATATATATTAACAAATAATCTAAGCCAAGAAGAAGTTAGATCTCCGGTACTGAACACTTCACTCACCTCTTCTATGGGCTTCCGCTGAACCGAAGCATCCATTATCCTCTCCATGTTACTGAATCCAATTCATTCGAAGAAAACAGAAAACGAAGAAAGTTTGAGTTTGCAAGTTGTTGAGAACTTGAAGAAGGTAAGGAATGGCAAGAGACTCAAGAAACAGTTTCCAATACCCAATAAGCAATTTTCCTACATAGATATGGTGAGACTGGATATCGATTCCCTTTCCCAGCGTCATCAGGGTTCTCTGCCACCCTAATTTCCATTTAACACCCGCCATCGATCCATTTTTTGTTGTTGGCTTCGCTGTGAATTTCAGGCTGTTTACGAAGGTCTTGGAGATATGAGAGAAGAATTCTAACACTGGCTGCAACACATACATAATAAACCATTATCAACAGAAGACGAAAACGAAAAAGAGGTAGATGGGATTTGTGAAATTACCAATATGGCTCGGAAGACTCGTATTGCAGGGATGGAATTGTAAGCATCGGGAAGTTCATCTGCTATTACCTCATACACCTGGTTCATGTTTTTGTTCTTGATCACCTCGTAAAGTTTGTGGACTCTTTTGAGAGTCTTGTCGTTGTCGTTGTCGTTGTCATCTTTTCCCGGCACCCAGCTTTTGTTGCTGCCATTGCATTTTACGCACAGATAGAGTTGATGCTTGGCAGCGGGCGGTGGGCAACGTCTGGTGTAAAGAGAGGCGGCGGAGTTGTAGTTGTTAGAGTTAGAGCTAGAGTTGGACGGGGAGATTGAAATGGGAAAATGGATGATGTTTGTTGAGGAAGAAAAAGCCATTGGAAAGGTGAAATGGCAGAAGATGAGGAAGGATTGAAGGCCATTGGAAAGAAGAGGATTCTCGTCTTGGAATGGACACAAAATTGCCATGGGAGATGATGCTTTCTTCCCCCCGTAGTGTTACAAACTTGGCCCCCACAAGGAAAGAACCTCCTTTTTCGTTATTTTCATTTAGTTGCAAGCAAGAATCTTGGTTGACAAACACAGTCTTATAGTCTTATCTCGTTAGGTATCGTCATCAGGTTCACGATTTTAAAATGAGGAAGATGTTTCCACACTCTTATAAGGAATGTTTATTCTCCTCTCCAACTTAGGTGGGATCTCACAATCTACCCTCCCTTCGCGCCCAATGTTCTCGTTGGAACACCATTCGGTGTCTAACTTTGATATCATTCGTAACAACCCAAAGTTCACACCTGGCAAATATGATAACATTTTAGATTGTTATGTATCACTCTCAACCTCACAATTTTAAAATGCCTCTACCATGGGGAGGGTCGGTTGTGTTACAAATTATATCTGTTAAGAATTACCATAAATGAAGAGGGTAGACTGTTACATATTATGTCTGATAAAAATGACCAAAACTGAAGCGGGAGAGAAATTTAGGTTGACTTTTTAGACCAATTGATTAAGATACAAATTTGTCCAATTTATAGAGGAAATTAAGTAATAAGTTTGGATTGGTTGGCTTTAACTCAACCAACTCCCAACAAATTTATTTTAAATTAAGTTGATTCAATTGTTTATATGTTTGAGTTTTCAAACCTCTCGCATATTTATTAAATTCATGAACTTCATACTATACTTCTAGTCAACCTATTGAATCGAGTGTTTATCCTAAGCATCGCTAACAAAATGTCGACGAATTGGCATAGTACGCTCACCAATCAAGTAAAATGTTAATGTAAATGACAAAGTGAACTTGCATTATACTTGAAACATCGTAGGTAGGTAGCTGAAAGGGCAATTTTGAAACAATAGGGTATAAATTTATGGGTGTATTTGAAATGCATAAGAAGTTGACTGTCCCTTCTTTCTTTGTTGGGCTCTGCAAATTATAGAACGCCGGCCCTACCGAACACAAAACTTGAAGAAGAAGAGCGAGAGAATGAGGAGGAAGAAACCCACATACAGCGCTGCAGCTCTCCTCTGTTTTATCGGCACCCAACTCCAATTCCTCTGTTCCCCACAAACTTGTAAGTCTAGGAAAGAGATGGGTTTTATATAAAATATAGAAAGAGTACCAAATGGAACGAGAAAGAAGGTGTGTAGGTTCATTCACCAGTGTTTTGGGCGCTAGGCGAAGAACAGGGCCTATTAGATTCTCCAAGTTGCTGAATCCAATTCATTCAGTTTCAAAGAAAAACGAAACAGAGAAGGATTTAGTTGGCGTCTATGGCAGAAAGCTCGCAGAGACGTTGAAAATGGAAACAAATAGATTGAATTCAAGTACCTAATAAGCAACTTTCCAACATAGCTTTGGTGGAAATGGATGCCGACACCATTATCCCACACCATCAGGGGTTTATGCCACCCTGCCATGACCAACAACCTTAAACCTCTCAAATTTCGGCTCTAAACTGAAATAAACTAAGAGATTTTAGTTTGGAGAATGTACCTACTCTCCATTTAACACCCACCGTCGATCCATCATTTGTTGGCTGCACTAAGAATATTATTCTTTTCTGTAAGGACTCGATGAAATTAGAGACGAAGTTCGGCTTTCTCTGCAAAATGAACCATTATCCAACAATTAGAGACAAGAAATTCAAACCCTCTGTTTTAAAGGTTTGTAAGGGAGGAGAGATGGGATGGTAAAATTACAGATTTGGGTTGGAAGGGAGCGAAGTGTTCGTTCTTTATGTCCTTGTAAAGTTTGTCGATTGTTTCAAAAGGGTCTTCTTTGTCCGGCTCGGCGTCACCGCCGTGACATTTTACGCTCAGAGAGGCTCGACGCTTGGCCGACGGCGCCGGCGATGGGCGGGGGTTATTGGTGGTGGGAAGAGAGGGGGCGTTGAGGATGTTGGAGTTTGAGATTGAGATGGGGAAATGGATGAAACTTGGTGCAGAAGAAAACGCCAAAGCCATTGGAATTTGGAAGGGTGAAATGGAGGTGATGGGTGATGAGGAAGTGAGAGAAATAGGGCGGCCATAGCCATAGCCATAGCCATGGGAGATGCCTTTCTCTTCCTTCCACCGTAAGGGTTCTGTAAGGAAGGAACTTGGGTGTTTGGTTTGGCTCTGCAAGCAAGAATCTTTGAACAGTGAAGACGGTGGCTTCCGACGCCCCAAACTTTCGGTTACTTTACGAAAATCACACCGTCGGGGCCTTCGGCCGCCACAGCCGACTGCCCTCCGTCGATATCTGCAAAATTCCGAATCCACGTAGACAACAAAGAACATCTAAAAGCTTAGATTCAACATTTCCAATAATATTCTTTAGCTAATGAAAATTTAGGGAAAAAAATGTTTTTTTTTTTTTGTTTTTTTTTGGGTGGAGTAATTAAGAATAGCTTAATATTTATTTAAAAGTAAAATTTTTATATGAATTTTCGGTGTCTTTTTCTCATTACAAATTGTGTAAAATAAATAAATAAATAACCTCAGTGCCACGTGGGAGCACCAAAATAATGATCGTTTTTTTTTAATTTTCCAAGCTGGACTTTCCTTTTGCCTACCTGATCTGACGTGGTTACATGCCGCGGATTACTTTTTATCACATTAAAAATTTAGATGCCCATACTTTATTACTTTTAGGGATTTAATTTCTTCTATCCACGTCATAACTTTTTCTTAAAAATATATAAAATGAACTTTGGAAACTTAAAATATACGAATTATATAGTTAGGCTCAGCTATTATTAACCATTTTTTTTAAGTTCTAATGATACTCTAAAATTTAAAAAAAAAAAAAAAAATTAAAAAATATTTTTATAGTTTGTTTGGATAGAAATTGTGTATTGAATTTCAAAAATAGTATTTAAAAAATATTCTTAAATTTGAAAAAATTCATTAATATTTTTTTAATTTTTTAAAGTTAAAAAATGCTTTTACCATTAATACTATATAACGTGAATATAGTCATATATAACTTTTATAAATTATTTCCAAACTTTTTAATATTAATTTTTTTAAAAAATTTATGAATATTTTTTAAACATTGTGGGTACCGATTTTTTTAAAAAAAAGTATAAAGTGTTTTTAAAATTTAAAAAAAGTTCAAAAAAATTAACGAAAATTTTGAAAACTCAATAATATTTTTTAAACCATTGGGAATGTTTTTCTTAGTTTCCGCATATCAAATTTACCTTCTCATATGAGTGAGTTGTGTTAAGGAATTCTTTCTTTAAAACTGATTATTGCTATTGATAATAAACCGTCTTTAAAACTTTTTTTTTTTTTTTTTTTTTTTTTTTTTTACAAAAGCAGTAACGGGTAAAAGAAGAAGAAGTTCTGTTTTCACGAATCCAATTGATAGATATGTATTTCAACTTGGCTGATCATCTAGAAAGATATCTGCCGGTTCAACCAGTGTTGGTTATTACAATATTCTCAAGTAAGACGGGTGGATATTTTTTTTATATAATAGGTAAAATTAAAAAGATATTTTTATTAATTTACTTTCAAATATAACCCACTTGGGCATAAATGTGGGGAGATGGTAATCCCCAAACAAGAGGAATAATTTCTGAACCATAATTCATAAATGGGGGGAACAAAAATATGAAATAAATAAATAAATAAAAAATGGTAACACACCACATGACTCGGCCTCTGCTTGATCAAAATAATTGAGGTTTATAACTGTTGACTTGACCAAGGGGTCCCACAATCACAATGTAATCTTTGGGAAAGTGGTCCACGTCATCAATGCCTACGTGCTACCCTAATCCCCTACATCCACTCACATTGTAACGCATTGTCTCCCACCATCACCATCCACACATCCCACCCATGCCCACACCGAATCTTATTTTTTCATAAAAAAAAATAATAATAATAATTTCAATTTTAATAGTAGGTTTGAAACATTTGTTTAAGGATAATAGTAAGTATTTTTTAAATACAGATAAAATTTATCGATAATTTCTATAATTTAGACATTTATTAATAAATGGAAATTTTTTAAAAAAAGCAAAACGCCAGAGAAGTATGTCGTTCCACGGAGGAATCTACACGTGGCGAAGAATATTGTAGTACAAGGGTGGGTCCCATGGGAAAGGCGATCACCGCCGTCCAGCTTTCAATCAGACTTTTCGATATTATAATAATTAATTAAAATAATATTAAATAATAATAGTAGAGAGAAGGCAAGGCCAATGCATGATGATGGCACGCATTTCCAGTGACCACTTGGCTTAATTCCAAACACCAAAATGTATTGAGATCCACATCTCTAATTCCCTCTTCTTTTATTTATTCTACTTTTTTACCGTCCCCAGTTTCACTTTTTTACTTCTTCAATTAATCCCAATTACAATTCATAATTATTTATTTAATAAACAAGAAAATGTGATGAGTAATGATGCTAGGCAATGGATTTAATATTACTTTAAAATTTGTGAGTTCCTATAGTTCTAAGAATTTGAACCCGACTAAGTGGGTCTCCATTTCAGATAATTTTAATCTTTCGAAATTCGATGCTTTTCATACACATTGAATTCAAGTCTAAAAAGTATTTTAACTCTTAAATATTATTTAAATATGAAATTTACTCTTATTTACTTTTTAATGTGATGCATCATTTTGATCTTATTTTATTATATTTAATAGATAAATAGATCTCACTACAAAATTTAACCAGGCGAGTAAGGCTGAAAGATTTGTATGTTGGAGAATATTGAAATGCGTGAGGTATGGCGTGGCAAATTAAATGGCGGGTAGCAAAGGTGGGGCCGGGGTCACGACCGTCCGACCTGGAAAGCAAATCCAGGTGGACCCCTTCCAAATCGGAAGGGCAGTTACATTCCCAAGCCCTGCCATGCCAGCACAACTTCTGTTTCATGGGGCCCATCTCTGTGCTCATTCAACGGTCAAGATCGCATTTGCTGGCCCCGTCTACACTTCAGCCACCGCCCTACGCCGAAAATTTTATGACTGAGGTGGCAGGGCATAAAAGTTTTATTTATCACCTTTACAGAATGGTATGATATTGTCTAATTATAAGTTTTAGTCACTTTATTTATAAACTCATAATCATTTCCTTAATTAATAGATATGAAATTCTTCTCTTGATATCGATGTCGATGTGTACCATCCTTTTCATGTTTGTTGCGTCACAAAAACACAATTTGTTAAGTGTATATGATTTTGTGTTTTAAAAGGAAAGTATGTAGAGGTGGACAAAGAATGTGGGGGTAAATGAGGTGGCAAAATGAGTAAAGAATTACGTGGAGTCCACATGGCTCTGTTTCCAGCAACCTTATTATATTTTATTGCAATCCAGCGTTTGTCATACACCTATATAAACCCTCTTTCTCTGTTTAATGCTTCAATCAACTCCTTCACTTCCCTCTCCATATTTTAGTTTACTCTAAGCTCATCTGTGCGTTTTCCTTTTTAATTCTCTTTCTTCACTTCCTTTGCTTCCTTTCACCTTTCTCAAATGGCCACCGTTGAGGTAATTCAAGCCTTGTGGGATTGATGCAGATCAAACCCTTTTGAAACCCTTTAAATTTCATATTATATAAATGTTTCTAACTGATCTTGCAATGTGGGATTTTCTGAGTTGGTTCGTGTTCTTCAAGCAAAAGAACAAAACAAACGAATGCCAGTGAATATTGTTTAACATGTTTTTTCTTGGATCATCGCAGCTTATAAGCCTACTTTTAGTTATGGATTGATCAATTATGCGATGTGGGTGTTGTAGGTTGATTCAGCCCCTGTAGTACTGCCAGTCGCAGAGGAGCCGGCAGTGGTCGTACCAGAGGAAAAGGCTGTAGAAGAGGCAGTAGCTGTAGCTGAAGAGCCTGCACAAGAACCAAAGGAAGAAGCTGTGGAGGCAAGCAAAAGAAAAAAAACAAAAAACAAAAAACAAAAAACAAAAAACAAATATTGATTTTCTTCCCATTTGGATTACAACTTATAATGAATTGTGCTATCTGGGTGTTGTAGGTTGAATCAACCCCCGTAGAATCGCCGGAGCCTGACGTAGCTGCAGTGCCAGAACCTGAGGAAAAGGGTGTAGAAGAGACAGTAGATGTAGCTGAAGGGTCTGTAGAAGAGGAAGCTGCCAGTGAAGCAGAGGCAGTGGACCCGGCAGCGGTGGCTGAGGTAGAGGAGAAAGAGGCGGAAGCACCGGCGGAGGCGGAAAAGGAGGAGGAGGTAGCAACAGAGGAAGAGGTGCAGGTGGAGAAAGAGGAGGGT